TAAACTCAGACGGTTATTCAAAGTAAATATAAATATTTACAACATTTATTTATTCAAAATGATGCCATGTAAGATTAGTCAATGATATGAGAAATAACATACATAATTTAAGATGGCTGCAGTTATATTCCTAGTAAATGAATTTCCAAGTGTACTTGGATAGTTACTTGGCACCATATTAAGATTCAAATGATGTATCATAAAATCAAATGCCTTTCATTTCGTTTGACGTCTACACCTGAAATCTCCCATCATAATAATAGGAACATCTGTATCTATAGTAAACTCTTCATTGATCAATAAAGTAGTCTCAGAATATTTAATCAATGCACTAAACAAGAACGTCTTCCAATCTTCCGAATTAACAATTGTATGAACATATACGCATGCTAGAATAAATCTTGACTGTTCATTAACGATTACATCAAACATACAAACATTCTCTTACGCTGCTTAACAGTAAATGCTGTTGGTAGACATCTGCTATACTCTTCAAATTTCTGTACATCAGAACACGAATCACAACACGAGTTGGCGAATTAAAATAAAATACAGCAAACACCACCTGAATACACTGACAGTCTACGCGTTACTGTCTACCAGATGGCCTTGCTACTCACAAACAGTCGCGCATGCGTACGGAGCTTCACAAAAATCTCGCTGTTTTTGACGCGTTAGTATGCGTATATCCTTTGTTCAATTTTTTTTAAATCTTTTGTGTTTGCTAATGTGCTCTTTCATCTATCTAATGATGTATTTAGATTGATTGCAGCATTTGTAGTTTCGAAGATAGGAGCATTCGCGCAGACTTCAAATAGGGTCTTAGTTTTTGCTTTCTCACCAGACCATTATGGATGAACGTAATCCTACGTTAATATCAACTCAGAAATTATAGAATATGTGTAAATTTCCTTTTAGAAAAGATCTGATACCAAATTTCATTACACTGATTAGCTCAGCAATAATAGAAGTAATGAAGTATTTTCTTTTTAAATGTTGAAACACAACTGGAGTGCCCAACGAGACAGCTAAATACTGGTAAATGCTGCCCACAAGTGGCAGAGCGGTAGAGTCGCTGTAGTTTGACCCAGGGTTCGATTTCAGGTTGGCTGCATGGGCGTTTTTGTGATTTTCTCCATGTGTCGATACGAATCAAATGTTTTAGAAAGCCCTCCACGAAGGTGTCTTTTCTCTTAGGCAGACAACCCTAGTTTGCTTTGCAATAATAAACCAAACCAAGCTGGTCGGTTGTTTTCTCTCTCAGAGAATAAGCTTACTCCACGGACATAATCAAGGTTTTCCCCGTGTATAAGGTGAACACAAGATAGTTTCCCTTTAAAATCCCGTAGGAAGGCATCTCTTCCATTAGGAAAGAAACCTTCGAGTACTTTTACATAACTTGTTACACAACAGTAATATACAATTCTCAGCTAAATGAATGTGCAATATTTTTTATAGTTTCTTTTCTGAACGATTAAAATTATATAAGTTAGGTAGACTTCCTAAACGAAAAATTACGTAATTCCTTTTCATTAGATTTTCTCTTCTATGGCTGATAACTTGTGTATGCTGTATAAGTAATTAAATCGATTATACTTCCGAACAAGAAGTTAAAATTTGTATTCCACATGTAATTTTTTCCTACACTGTCCTACAAGCTATGATTTAAATTATAATTTACGTAGGAAAGGTGGAAAGTTTTGAGCCTTACAGGAAAGACATAATGCTAGACAGTTAAACTTTTGTAGGATGTTGAGTTGGAGCTTTATAAAGCACGGTGCGAAATGTCATGAAACTGTCATATTTTCTTCCTCTTATTATCTTAAGTGAAAAAATTAATGCAATGTCAGAGAAAAAGAGTGGCTGACAGGGTCACTAGAACTGGAATTCATCAGGACAATGTTTCGGGTGTTACGAAAATAATCCTCGTCATTTGCAACTGTTAAACGGAAAGTCACAGACTTCAGGTACGGAAGTGAAAGCAATTTGGATGAACAAACAGTAGGACGTCCATTGACAGAAGCAATCTAAGCGAACACTTCAACGCTGGGCTGAATATAATCATGGACAACTTCGAATGAATGTGGGGACAATGTATAAGCGTTTGCAGATCTCGATTAAACGTATGCGCCATATTATCTATCAAGAACTGCTTATGAACAAAGTGTCGGGTCGACTCGTCCTCAAAAACTTTAGAACGAAAACAATTTTGAAAAAGAATGTGACTTTACGGCGAAAAGCTCCAATATTATTTCTAGGTAACTATACTGCCAATCTCATGCACAAAGTGAGAGGCGGTATGGCGGAGGAATCATCCTGCACCTCCTCACCGTGAAGCAATTGCAAAGGCTGCTTTGGTCGATTGTTTGTTCACTTCACTTCTCCATCCATCTTATACTCCTGACCTGGCTCCTCCAGATTTTCATCTATTCCCTGAAGAACTCACTTCGGGTATGTCACTTCAACGCGGACGATCGTGTCATCGAAGCGGTTATTTGGCGGTCAAAGACTCGCGATAAACTATTCGATAAGATGACTGTAAATAGATTGTAGCGCAGAAAGCATACATAGGAGATCATTATGCAGAGAAATCACAATGAGAAATTGTAGCTTGAACGTCAAGTCCACTGGAAAACTCAAAACTTTTCATCCTTCTCTCATAGTTACATTATGCATCAGTATTAATAAAAAGCATTAATAAAATACCGAAGCATGAATAAAAAACCACGGTATAAAAAATCATAATGACTGAAAAACGTGCGATGATAAGTTTCTTAATCACGTTTTAAATTATAAGTGCAATTTACAATCAGCTTTATAAATTTCATCCTGTTTATGTAGATAACTCTTCCCTGTGCGTATTTCATTCCGACTTTGGTCAGGTAATGCTGTAGTCTGAGTAAACAATTAACAAAATTAAAGTTAATAAATAACTTGATAAAAATAGCTCGTAACGTCTAAACTGCTGTCTGGAATAAAAATAGAGATAAATAACTGCAAAACATACTTTAAAAATTATTTACTAGGAATTAGTAGTCATGCCTATTTCTTCAATTATGACTCTTGACCTCCTGGGCATTGATTCTACATTTATTTGCTTCTCCGCTAATTTTCAGCCGTCGTTCGCTAAGAAATTTTTCTAAGTTCTGCTTTGTTAGGTTTTTCCCTTGTTCTGAGTATACAATAAATCTTAAACATTCCCAATAAAGTTGAGATCTGGCTATTCTTGGGGTATCTGCAGTTTATTTTTCGCGTTATGAAATAACCAAAATCATGTTACATGAGCTACGTGTTTTAAAACAGTTATTCTCTTAAAACTAAGCTCTCTCATCTTTAATGCAATGCTTGATAAATTACCTCGCAATATAATTTCTACTGTTAGGCCATACTGGCAATATCATTAAAGGCTATGCATCACAAAATCATTACATGACTACTCTGACGTTTTACAGTTGGTCTTAAATACATATTTCAAGGAAACGTTTTGGCTTGATCGACAGATCTTTTTTTTTTATCTGAACTAAAATATTAAAATTTTAAAAATATTATATTTTGCTAAAATTTATTTGTTTTGCTGATGTACGCATCTTTAAGAAAATAATATTACGAAATTTAAAGAATTTTTACGGCCCATGTTGATAAGAAATTAGCAACCAATATCTAAAGCACTTACAAAGGGGTTTCTGATATTTTAATTATTACTCTATTACCTCTCTTTAATGATAAATCTCTCTGATATATTTACTTTATTATCATACTCATTTTGTACTGCATACCGAAAACTAAAAAATCTAAAACTTGACATTTTACTAACTATGTAACTTAAACCACAATCATATAGAGCTGTAATCTTTTGTCGCATACCAATTAAGAACTCCTACTTTGCTGAATATTTGACAGCTAAAAACTAACTAAATTCCCTTACTAAAGATTTTATAATATTTCTTTTTAAAGAAGACTTACTGAAGTTTATGTAGCGTCATGCTGTCAAACTGCCACAACTATTTTATAAAAGGACGTTGTTAGTCTGTAAGGGCATTTAGAAAGTCTGATTTCTTCCAGGTCTAACCTGAAAGAAATCAGACTTTCTAAATTAGAAATTTCCTTTGTTACATATTTCTTTTTTATTTTCTTAAAAATGTATGTATGTTTATAATAATTCTAAACGTAAGCCAACGGTTAGAAATATTTGCTCATTCTTGCTTTGTATATTTATCTATGCAAAACAATCTATCCGTACATATATAATTTTTGGGGTGTGTGCGTACGTGTGTGTCTACTGTGTACTGGTGCTCTGATTGCTTGGGTCATGCTAAAAACGTTTGCATAGAATATTATGAATTAAATACGGAACTGTTAAGTAGTTCTAAGCTATAGCTATCCTCTGCTTTTTTATTGCAAGATTCAAATTAAAGGACATTAATAGTAAAATTGATAAGATGGAATGTATGTTAGACATTCACTAGGCACTTTGTTGGTAATTTGATTTGTAATTTTATCGAGACAGTAATATTGCTATACTACTCCATTTACTTTCCATGCCTGCCAAATAATCTAGTGTTGCAGTTTTTTATCAATTAATTTTTGGAAAAATTGTTGATGTTAACCAAGAGATAAAACCTCGGAGGCCTTTGAATTAAAAAATATGAATTAAGTAATTCTATCTTTGCCCAGTGTATGTATGGTCTTTTTGATGTTCCTTTTTAATTGGCATTTTCCCAATTTATTTAGATTAAAGTTACAAAGTAAGAAATAAGATTGGTCATAACACTATTTTATAATATATTTTATTGAAAAACATTTTTGTTCGTGTATATAGCTCATATGCAAAACGATAAAATCACGTATTTCGTAAAACACATAAAAAATCAAATGTAAACAATGAGATGTTTAACTTCATTTACATAGAATTAAAAAATTTCTTTTCTCACTGACCTTTTTTACTTGGCAACTTTAAATTAAATTAACAGAAATAGTTAAAACTTCTTTACAGAGACAAGTTTTTTTTTTTTTTGTTCAAAAAGCACCATAACTTTGACAGTCAACTGACGGGAAATACTGTATTACTGTAAACGTCGGACGTTACTGAGCTGCTTATGTCGGAACTAAACTAATTAATTGAACTGCTTAATGGCACTTGAAATTCATTTCACGCCATTACTAATCAAATCTTCTTTCTCTGCTATATCATACCTTTGTACACACTTTCCAAAGTTTCCTATCTGGAATAGAATGGCTTATTTGAACCTTGTTCATCACAACGATGAATAGCTATAGGATCTCCGAGAATACGAGCGACTTAAAAGAGGTTCACGTTCACAGCCATCTTTGCGACGGTTGTCTCTTCTTACTTTTCTAATAATTACATAACCAGCTAAGACCACAAGCTGAAAAAAGTTAAGAAATAATAAATATTATAAATAAAGTTATCAACACATTATACAAAAATTCGATCACAGATACATTGGCATTGAAAAGCAAAAGCTATTACTGTGAAACCACTTTAAATTATCACTTTAAAAAACCCATCACTTCGCTTCTCACGTCAGTTTTACAAAATCCTAAAATATCTCCATTAACCATCCATATATTTAACCCATTTTTTTCGTCTCTTGTCAAGGAGAATTCCGCTTCCATGTCATTTTGAGCTTGGGTTTTTAGTCTATTATTATTTTTCCTCTTGCTAAAATCTTTTAGTTTTCAAAATTTATTTCTGCCATACCAAAATCTACAGATTGAATCAATTTTATGTATCACCATATTGTTAAAACTTTGTTGTAATCTCTTGATTATTGTGTGGTAATGAATTTTAGACAAAACTGCAGAAAACTTTTAGATAAAAATTGGTTAAAAAATAATAAAGGAAAAATGTATTTTTTTTTCATTTTCTCCGTTATTTATTGTATTTCTAAATCCTTGAATGAAATTTCAAATACAACTACAGCAAAGTCCTTTACGCAGGTAAGGTTTATTAAAGTAGTATTAGGAATCATTGAACTGTTTGGAAACGATAACGATGTGCCCTTAGCAGTTTTTTCAAGAGCTGAGTAATCTTCGAAAAGAAAGAGAAGGTAAGGAAGAAATTTATGTGACCAGAGATAAAGATTTAAACTTAAAGTATAAATAACAACTCAACCTCAGTGACAAAAAGCTTCCTTTTTTAATTTGATTGTTATAGTGAAAATGAATACAAAATTAAAATACCTACTAAAAGAAAATATCAGAATACACATATACTAAGAGTTTATACTTCATCTATGAATGAAACAAAAGATTAAAGTTATAATATAGCGTTTATGCTTGAAAGGGAAAAAGAAATTTCTAATTCCACGTACCACCGCAATCAAATCAATAGTTATTTTGAAACAAAGATAATATAACTTTTAAGTAAGCAAAGTATTTTTTTCTTCAAGAAGATTAAATTATACAGAACATAATACTGTTAGTAGGATACTTCTCAGCTTGCTAGAAATGTCTCGTTTCTCGTGATTGTACTGAATGTACGAAGTCAGAAATATTTTCAAAACTATTTTTAAATTGTTTCCGAGCTAATAAAATACACCCGTAATAAATACCTGCTTTTTGACTATTTTTGCAACAATCCTTTCAGCTATTTCAACCCCGGCATATCTTAAAAATTTGGGGGATCTCGAATTCAACTTCAAAGATCGAAAATATTACGTTTGCAACTAAATCATACTGATGTGCAATTTTACCATTCCACGATATCAGGAATAGGAGGCTGAATGTTTTGCTATGTGTCAATCAACGTCTTATCTTTATTAACTAATTAATTAATTGACTTGATCTTTATGCTAAACGTAATGTAAACTATAATTTTAATCTTTCTTAGAAATCTTGACGATAATTAACATTTCGAATTATTCAGTTAATGTTAAAATCAGATTAGAATCTATTTAGGGATTATTAAACAACAAAAACTAATACCAGAGTTGCTCACATTTTATAATTTTCTGATTTTTCACACTGCATTGTCAAATTTCCAGGAAAAGGATATTTTCATAGAAATGCCTGTGCTTGTCAGTGCATCATGAATTCATTATTCATTGCAGTAAATTGAGACTATAGACTTTATTCGTTCTTATCGGCTTAAAAAAACATTTTCAATGAAAATCTAATTTACTTTAAATTACTTTAGTCGAAAGCAATGTTTCTTTTCATCTTCAAATTCTCACAGAAATTACTGGAACAAAAAAGGGAGTCCTTAAATGAAAAAAATCAATGGAGTTGCAGTTGCCCCTCGCTCCCTATTTTTTGACTTCCTTGATTTGTTTGCGTTTTTAGTCTATGTGTTATATGTTTGAACAGATAGCTTGGCTCAGTAAAAGTAGGCGGCCAGTGTAAATCTGATTCAAAATCCGGTTACGACCACGTGTGTGCTGATAACGACCACGTGTTTCTGAGACTCCTTTGCCAATGCTTTATTTTCCTTCAGTTTCCCCTTTCTAGTAATTTCGTTCTCCTGATGAGGAGGGACCTTTAGCTGCCCTCGAAATCGATTGAGTGTTTTAATATATGTACGCCAAATACAAGGTTGTTATTGCGATTTTAATTGTCACATTGGCGTGTTTCTATTCTATTCTAAAACAATGGAACTTAAAAAAACATTAGGTCTTAACCATCGAGCAAATATATCAATACTTCTAAATATATCCCAAAAATTATTATTTTACTAGGCCATTTGTATCATCGTCTCCATAAAAACTGCTATAAAACATTTAGTTACTTCGTAATGAATTCCAGCGCTTAGGTTACACTTATTAATTATTTATTATGAGTAATAGCGTTTATAATTAATGAGAATCTTGAGGTAAGTATACTTAACAGAGGTAACATTCCACTTCAAAATTCTGAGCTGTAAACCCCAAATACGAGGGTTGGAACTTTAATAGTGGCAACTATTTATTTAGAAGGAATACAAAAGTGATTCATGTTACCATGTTTTACAGTCCTTCAATATAGTCGCCAGCATTGTGTACAACCGTTTCCAACGATGTGGAAGTCGCAGAATACCTGTAGCAGCGCCTGTTTTGTTGATAGTTTGAATGGACCGGTCTACTGCCGCAAGAATCTCAGGAACAGTTTGGAAGCGAGTGCCACGAAGTGGTTCCTTCATCTTAGGAATTAAGTCATAGTCACAAGGGCTTAGCTTAGATCTGGGGAGTATGGTGGATGGTAAAGCACTTCCCAGCCCCATCGCTTGAACAAATCAGTCACAGCTTGCGCTGCATGCGGCCGAGCATTGTCATGCAAAATGAATGAGAGGAGCGTTCTGCAGAAAGTGTCGCCGTTTTTTTCTCAAAGCTGGTCGGAGATTGATTGTGCTCCAAAAATGAGCAGTAATACTGCGCAGTGACGGTCTGCTGTGGGGGAACGTATGCGTGTTAGGATGACACCATCACAGTCGTACACGAGAATCACCATAACTTTCACATTGCTGGGGTTCTGACGAAATTTCGAACGTCGTGGTGACCCGACCCGTGATGACGCCATTCGTTTGATTGGCGTTTCAGTTCTGGCTGGTACGATCGGGCCCAAGTCTCATCATCCAGCGTATGATACGGCGTAAAAAAGCATCTCCTTCGCGCTCATAGCGCTCCAGGTGGGTTCGGGCAGCAGCATCGTAGCCATTTCTGCCCATCAAGCATTGTGGAACCCATCGTGAAGCAATTTTCTAGCATTTTCTGCATTTCCGTCACAATGTGAACCCATTTGTTTTGGCCAGCTCACGAATCGTTTGGCGGCGATCACTGCAATCATTGCTGCACGCACACACTCGGACGACCTGGTCGCATGTCTGCCACGTTTTGGCGTTTGGTCCTTCATTGAATGCTTTCACCCATCTTGCTACGGTTCTGTAAGGCAATGCAGATTCCCCGCAAGCCTCTTGAAGCCCTTGATGACACTGTCGTGCTGTACGACCTCTGGCACATTCAATTTTTATCCAACATCGTTGTTCTTGTTTTGAAAACATCCTGACAACACTTACTTTAGACCGCGAGCTAATACAAGGATCCGTTCTTCGCGTCACTCCGCATGCGCGTGACGTAGGCAGGACGAGTCTTTTTGCTGAGAGGTAAGGTAGGTATGTAGTTTACGTGTGGTATACGCGATATTCTTTGGTTTTGTTGCGTAGCGTTTTTTCAGCTGTGTTGCCACTATTAAAGTTCCAACCCTCGTATATCTCCCCCTGTATGCGCAATCCTGTGATTCTTGAATAGGCCGATCATGGCATTAGCCCTTCATTTCGGAGAACGTGCCCAGTGATTATAGAAGACAAATACCCCGAAAAGACGGGGGAGACAACTAATACGCCAAGTTTAATGACTCGAATTAAAATGTGTCGGACTAGGGCCAGCGCAGCTTATCATGGTACTATCCGAAGCAGCTGTGTATACTGTGCTGTGCAATGAAACAACTTTGCTCTAAAAGCCCATATATTTATAATTTAAATAGCTTAAATCATGGCAGTGGAAGAATGTTTTCTTCTATGCATAATTCTGAAGCACTTGTTTTAGATATAGTTAAGTTCAAGCACAACATGTAGCTTGTGACAATATTAAATTTCAAATCTGTCGCAGTCATGGTATATTCTTTTATACACCTATTTAAATGCATTACTGCTATTAAACATATCTGGTATACTTACGAAAAATACTTCTATAGCAAATATAACCACAGTTCCTAATCTGTAACCTGTTGTGTCTAGCAGAAAGCCTCCTATAGATGGTCCAATAAAGGCTCTGAAAATATAAATAAATGCAACTTTTAAACAAACTCTCCAACCAAAACATAAAAAGTTTAACGCAATTTATTAATAAAGAAATTAAACTATAAGCAGCAGGGAAAAAGGAGTGTTCTGAAGAACCTGGTTTATCAAAATTTAATAAACCAGGTACTTTCCAGATTATAGTGGTTTGAAGTTAACATTCATATTTAATATTATAAATTTGCTAATCTTAGCATCCTATTAAAAACCTTCAATAACTGCCTCAAAAATACATTGGGTGGCCCACGATAAAACCAAAACAAACGTGGGAACTTCACTTGCTTTAGGTTTCCTTTACCTTGGCCATCCGATATAAATTGATCTCGCAACAACTACTAAAAATACTGCTAATTGAATAAGAAGTAAAAAAATCGTTTTTTTTTTTCATATATTTAACACTCAACGGTATGCAGTTTTCATAGAGAAGCATAAAACTACCTTAAAATGCTTAGCATACAGATGTTTTAGTCATAATTAGCCACTGTACCAACAGACAGTGCTGCACTAGGAAGGATGTCCTAACTGTTGGCTGCACTAATCGCAAGAACTATTATAGCGTTCTTCACGATGATATTACCAAATAAAATAATCTCTATGAAATTTTATTACTTGAAAAAGAGAAAAAGAAACTGTAGCTTTGTATCTTTTTGACGTCTAGGGTATGAAACGCAATAAAGGAAAAGTGACTGTTGAAGAACTGAAGAAGATAACCAGAAATTTGAAACAACTGGTTCTTTGACACCAGTGACCATGGTTGCAGTTGAATTCGACATTTCTGCTGTATATATTTGCTTCCTCAATACATACAGCAGCAAGTTCTCGTGAAGTTTTCTTCTTGAACTGGCATCATTCCAGTTCTAATACTAATCCTTCGTCAGTAGTAGATAAAATTCAACATCTTCAAGATCTTAATTGCTTTTGATTCCGAACAAATGGCTGTCGTTAGAGATGATAAATCAACAAGTTAATTCATTGTAACAACAACAAAAAAGGGCGTGTGAAACTTTAAAAAAAAGAAGAAGAAGACGAGACGTAATACGTTACTGCCTTTTGCAGACTAACCGAAACACAATTTTTTTAGTTTAAATATCACGTTGAATAACAATCAAAAACAAAGTCCAACATTAAGAATCAGCGTAAATTTTTGAAAACTTTTTGCAGTACTAGTTTCGATAGTTTTTTGAACAACTACTTTCTTCAGCTACTTAAATGGAAAAAAAATAATAGCCTCCTTTTTTTTGGGGGGGGGGGCACTTAAGCAGCAGAAGAAGGTAGTTCAAAAAACTATCGAAAAAAATGTTACACTGATTCTTAATGTTCGACTGTGTTTTTGACACAAATTTTTTTTTACTGACTTCAGGATCATCTTGCATTAAGAAAAAAATACAAAAGAATTAAAAATTAATTACGTAAAAACCTTTCAATCAGTCATCTCAACCAGCTCTTAACTCATCAAAAGATTACTTTAGGCTTAGACAGAAGAGAAAAACTACCATTTCCCCATCACCTCTAAGATCTTTTCACCCCATCTCCCGAAGACAATCCTAATTTTTAATTGTTCTTCACTGAATTTCCATCCCCCTAATTCTTTCCTACTCTCAACCTATATTGTTTTTCGCTTCGGGGTTTTTCTATTTGGAGACTCCTCCGGTTTCTCTCAGAAATAGATACTTCTCAAGAATCTTCAGTGCCGTAGTGTGTTTAATATAGTACTACATCAAGAACGAACAAAATTGCGCTTTCGTAATAGTACTAAATGCTTGCAGTGAAGGAGACAGATCCTGCTCCCGTATCCCTCGCAATCGATAGAGCCAAACAACGCTAGTATAAGGCGGATTTTTATCTAATTCTCTATCGGAGAATAAATAAAGCACATTGATAGTGTTACTTAATGCTGCTCAGATAAATAGAAAATATTCAAGCCCTGCTGCTTCTCTATGAATTTAAGGTAGATAAAATTTCTTTTAAAATTCTTCAACCGTTATGCTTTTATTGTATTTGTAATATGTTCTGACAAAACTCCAATATTTCTCTAAAATCTCAAACTATTCTAGTAGATCCCTTTCATCGGACTTCAACTACTTGAAGGTCAAAACTGAAATGACTGTACACTAATAACACTGAGCAAATATTAATGCATTTGTTCAGTATCTAAACTTTGATAAACTAAAATTATAAATTATAAAATAAATTTTACCTATCTTGTCCTAAAAAACGTTTTTAAACTGAATCAATTTAATATCTTCATTTTTAACAACCATTTTCATAATTTTTTCCAATTTGGGAAAAACTTTATTTCTGCACTGAATCATGCAGCATGCTTTCACAATTAAATAGTTCGAAACAAAATGGAGAACTGCCAGTCTAGAAGTGTACCCCGAAAGAGTAATTGCGACCATTATTTAAATGCTAGTGCGTTAGCATGTAACTTTTCAATCAAAGTAACAAAAGGTAAGTTACATTACTTACTGTCATTCCAAATAAAATTTTTATATAAGCTAATAATATACATATTGATATACAAACAGATAAAGTGCAAAAATGTTAAAGCATGTATAAATAAATATATGTAGGCAAAATGTTAAAAAGGAAAGTTATATTTTCCCTACCCGTTTCGTATTTCGAACCCATTTCAAAACATTTCATACAGCATCTACTTTAAATTCCTGTCATTTTGGGAGTATTAATATAGAAGTCGGTTTGCTTTCAGGGGCTTTTATTTAAACCGGATATCCATATTCGGCTTAATCAAGTCCATGATAGCCGGACTAAATAAATTTATATTTAACATCAGGTTTTCCAAAATGTACTGCTAGCTCGTCTATGCGGAGAAGCACACAGATGTACGAAATTCACGTGTGCGGTCCTTCACAAGTCACAGTTACTACTGCTGTTGCAAACTGACATACTCTGACATAGCAGAAGAATAATTCATTCAGTAAAACCTCCACTTGATATTACAAGAGTCACAACTTTACGATCATGTCAAGAAATTTTGGCGATATCCATTATGCTTGTTATCAAAACCTCTGGTTTTCAGGGAGATTGACGGACCAATGATACACGAACGAAGACTAGATTTTTGCTACACATACATAACATTCTAGTATTCTCAGAAAACGAAGCTCTCCATAAGCAACACAGTTCCAAAGTTTTACACAAACTAAATGAATATGGACTTAAACTGAGTACTTCAAAATGTGTTTTCGGTGTCCTTGAAATACAGTTCTTTGTCCATTTAATAACCAAGAATGAGAGTAAACCTTGATCTGAAAGAAAAGACATAATTTTGAACTTCAAAAACAAAAAAGAAAACTGTGAAAGACTTAAACGCATTTTTAGGTTAATAAATTTTACGCAGTTCATAACTAAGCTCTACTCAGCGAATATTTAAAAGGTTCAAAGAAGAACTACAAAAGCAAAATTCTTTGATCTGTTCAAACAAACAGAGCTTTTAAAAAGGCTAAACAACAGTTAGCAAATGCTATATCATTAAGAGATACTTCGCAAAAACGCATCTCTAGTTCTTCAAGCCGATTCATCAGACTACACTTTTGGCATATCTTTAAATCAAGGTACTAAACATGGAGCTTAACCTCCAGTATTTTTCCTAGAAAGGCCACAACCACTGACGCAAAACACGGTGCATATTACAGGAATTATTAGCAATCTACATATCCATTCGAAAATTTAGATACATGCTAATCGGACACAAATTTTGGTGTTTACCGATCACAAGCCACTAATATTTGCTTTGAAACTAAAAACCTGAAAAATGCTCCCTACGTCAAAATCTAGACTTTATTTCGCAGTTCACAATGACATCCAACTTGCGAAAGGAACTGATAATATTGTTGTCGAAAAATGAATTAAATTAATGAAATTAAAATAATTTGTCCTATTGCTATTATTTGCAACAACTCTCCTTTGAAAAGAGAAACCAGTTACTCATTTTCGGTGAATGCCTTGAAGGAAAGGTTCCCGTTTGTGCATAACTTTAATATCAGATTTGTCATTCAAGCATTTCAGAAACTCGGAGAATCTGTGAGGCAGTTTGCTGCACATATATGCAAAACTGTCGAGATAGACGATGATCCAGCAGCAAAAACGCAGCTGCAAGATTTATTATTATCAGTTTTCATTGCGGGCTCACAGCTTTATCTTAGATGGCTGCTACTTCTGCAGAATCAGAAAACGCTCGCAGCTGCTAAGCAGCATGCCATTCTGAAAAAAGATATGTGGCCTAAGAACAACTCTAATAGTAACTTTCCAACTGCAGAGGTTACAGCAACACATGCTTCTAAGGCAGTTTCAAAGAAAAACACACAACAAACTACACTATCACGCTCAGATCTCACTACAGCTATTAAGCTACAACAGAACAGTGCAGCTGAGTCCCTTCGTCACCCCATCTGTAGTACAGTAAGACCCCGCTTAACGCGGGGGATACGTTCCATCAAAGTAGAGCGTAATGCGAAACAGCGCTAAACGAGGTTATCTTTACATGTAAATATTGGGGTTAGGGGAAGATGGCTAGGAAATTGGTTAGGTATTAAATTTAAAAAGTATGTTTTTTTAATAAAAATAAAACCAAACATTTATTTCTTAAAGCCCAAATTAATACCACATTATTATTTCTTGCAAAAAAATAAAAAACAAAATATAAATAACAAAACGAATATTCTTAAAAAAAAAAAAAATAAAATTCTAAGTCAGTCATATTTAGTTAGCCTTCCGCGTTTTCAGTGTTCTGCCTTTTTGTGACAAAAGCATCTAATGTTGTTTGCCTTTTTCTTTTGCGTTGTTCTCTTAAAAGTTCTTCATAAACGGATAGAGCATCTTTAACACCACGCCTTACTTTTGAGCTCCTGTCAAAATTCGGATCATTTTGAATGAATTGATCCATTATTTCAGTTAAGGTAGACAAACTCCTTTTCACAAACGCCATCGAAAGTTCTTTTTGCTCTTCTTCTGAATCACTGCTGTCAACATTTTTGTTTTCTTCTTGTTCAGTTAATTCCTTGAGCTCATCATTAGAAAGACTAGCCGCTGCTTCTTGAATTATTTCTTCGACATCTTCCACATTTACCCCTTCAAAATATGTCTGTACAATACCGCACCAAACAAGAAATACAAGTACACTCTTTCGGATATGTATTTGAAACTTATCGCTGCATAATATTTCGGGGAATCCCCGTATGCTGCGAGCGATTTCGTGGAATCCCCGGGTTGAAATAAAAGAGCGCTAAACCGAAACAGCGCTAAACGAAACAGCGTTAAGCGGGGTCTTACTGTACATGGAAAAATACACAACAAACTACAGTATCGCGCTCAGATCTCACTACAGCTATTAAGCTACAACAGGAGAACAATGCAGAAAGAGAATATTGAATTAAAAGCAGCTATCAGATCTATTTATTACTTCTTTTAAATATGCATTTTTAAATGCATTTGAAGGTTAGGCTATGGGATTGAATTTTACTTCAAAGTATCTTGTAAGAGTTTCGGGAACAAAAAATTCATAAACATAAAACAATTAAAAATATATGAATATATGAAAGGCGCTTGAAATTCTTTAGATTAGTGTAGCTGAAATTATTATTAATTTTTAAATCAAATAAGATTTCTGAATTTAAAACCAAGTAAGATATTCTGATACTTATTTAATGAATTTTTTAATTGAAAGCATTTTAAGTCAGAGCAAAATAATAGCTTAATTTCATTTTAGTATTAAAATTTGTAATGTAAGTTTTCAATTATTTGTAATGCAAGTTTTAATGAAAATTCAACTTAATGCGAACCTAAATACATCAAATTTTAAACAGTTCAAAAGAGCAAAAGTATTTCTGACCCTGTTGAACACGCTGTGGAGAAGAGGGCAGACACCATTCCATATGTTGCGAGATTATCTGGAAAACCTCTTTTTCTAAAAAGTACAAAACATTTATAAATCATACTGAAAATTATAATCACATAAATTTATAATTAAAATGTTTTAGAAGATTAGTTAAGAGAACATTTGGTGAAAACTAAGGTAAAACTGCTTAATGCTCTGAGATAATTACAAACCAATTTCACTGCAGCTCAAAGCATAACATGCAGTGAGTTTAATTTTATCAGTAATTTTACTGGTCACGAAAAAAGCTTTATTTAAAAAAAAATTCAATGATTCAACAGAATAATAAAAATATTTAACAAAACCTTTCCTTGTAACACAACGTAGAAGATCTTTTCGCTATATGTTTCCGTTGTTTAAGAATGCGCAACAATATGTAGACAAATTGACATAAGCATTATTTTGTTAATATTATAAAATGCTTAAAATGATAGAATTACTACTATTTTACACTTGAATAAATAAGAAAAATTTTCTTCGCATTCTTGCCTTATAAAAAAAAGTATAAATGCACCCTATTGAGTTAATACAAAACATTTTAACAGTCATCTGTTCAGTTTTCACGAATGAAACAAAGGTACAGTTAAATGTTTTAAAAACAAGATGCCCTTTAATTCACATGTAATCAATCATAAAAAATTTTAAAAACAAGTAGTTTGTTATAATCTTATTCGAAGAAAGTCATTAAAATTTAATACTTCTTTTCAGTTTTTTCACAACATTGTTTTAGCGAAATCTTTTAAAAATTTGAAAACATATTCTGAAATTTATGCAGAATTTCTGTCAAATGTTGAAAATACCTTTACTTCCAGTTTTTTTTACTTTAAAACTGTTTCTAAAAATGTATATGCAAAGTGACTTTTAAGGTTTCTTAATCAACACATTTTAATTAAATTCCCTAATATAACTTACACAACATCATTTTCTTAATTTGCATTCATTAATAAGTTTTCGGTTTACTTTAGCTTCAGTGATTTTACTTAGGAAAATTTATTATCATAAGGTACGTGTAACTCATTAGTTATAAAAATATTATGAAATCGTTAAAAATACTTGAAGTTTCACAAAGATGGAGAAGCAAATTTCAACCCAACACAAAATTAATTTACTAATAAATGGCAAAAATGTAACATACCTCGAAAGAAATAATAACTAGTCAAAATTTATTAAGCTACACCTAAAGAGGTTTGATACAATTAATTACCAATGCCTGCGCATGCATACATGCATCATACATTTATACACATGTTTAGATTTATAATAAAATAGTTTAAGGCATTGAAATTACGTTAACAAAGTGTATGAATCATTATAATTATTATTCAAGACATTAGAATGTGTTTTGTTGTTTGAATCGTTTTTATTATAATGGAATAATTAATCATAATAAATTACTTAAATAAAATTCATATCATGTCACTAAATTCTCTTAATTAGGAGTTATAAATAATATTATTTTGTTGTGTCGGTTGCAGAACGTAAGACATATTGAAAATACTTTCAAAACATCCGAGTTATTTTCTTGAGAGAAAAATCTTCAAAATATAAAAACGCCAGAAACATTGAAACAGACAGAAATTATGATCTGTGAGTAAGAAAATAAATTGCATTACTAGTATTACTTTTTATTAATTTGATCTTTTCTAACCTGCAATTATGTGTGAACGAATTACATTTCTAACCTGTATTTATGTGTGAACTACGATGCTTTAATTCTTGTAATATATCTTAAAGAAACAGCATCAAAATTTAGAAACATTCAAGATAACTTTACGTGAAGGTAGTATTGTAAACTTCACAGGGTAAATACATTAGCTGCCATTTTATAATATGGACATAAAATAACATGTGCCATTATGGACAGAATGTCATATTTCACATTTCATACTATAAATTTGTACCATATTTACATGAACTGGTAATTACAAAAATGCTTAAATCAACAAAGCGAAAATTATGCATAAGATGCTGACATTAACAGCCTAAAATAATAAAGTGTGTTTCACGAGTCTAATGGATTTATAAACTAACATAATCTTTCTCATGAAAACGTTTAAACTTATCTGTATAATAAAATATCTGTCTAACCTTACTTATGTTATAGCACCTAATAATCACAGAACAATGTCCGAAATATACAGTAGCAACTTATATATTTTAAAGATAAAATTAACTCATGTTATATGAATAATTAATATTTTCCAATTATGATTGTAATTTTACTGTTCTCAGAAATACGGGAATTTGCAAAGAACTTAAAACAAAATTGTTATTTTAATGCACAGGGTGAATCACCTAAAATTTGCACCACAATTATTTCCGAAATAAAAGGTGTTATTGATGTATTGATTTCACAGAATGGAAATTTACACAAGGGTTCATAATTTGCGCCCAAACACGGTTTTTAGAAATTATTAGAGCGAGTACTTTATCAACGAAGTTGCATTTGTTTTCAAAAAGAACAGTACCCATTAACATCAATTAAATATATCCAGAGGAAATTATAATGTCAATGGTGTTTTTTGTAGGATTTTACTGAAAACAGTTTACGATCTATAATAGTATCAAAATTGTAAATATCGACAGTTATCTGCTCCATTTAACTGCGTAGTTACTGGTTACAATATTCGTGTTTGTCTACATTTGCTTTCCTTCAAACTGCTTCCGTTAGGACTTCGTGATAGTTCATAGAAGCAAAACCTGCTGAAAGATGGTATTTACTAATGCTGAAAAAGCCAAAATGCTTGTGCTGTTTGAGGAATGTAGGAAGAATCCTGTTCGTTTTTGCAATGTGTAAACTGAAAGATATCTCAAAAGATGTAAACCATCTCGACAAATGTTTGTGAAACTTTTTAAACAATTACGGGAACTTGGAAGTGTAACATCTAGAAATAGTAACAGTAACAAACGAGTGAATGGAAATGATAGTAAAATTAATGTTCTAGTTGCTGTGGATCAGCTAGTTAGTTCCCGGGACATCGCAAGTAGAAGACAACTGTCGGTATTTAAAATTTGGACATAAATTATTTGCATAAGAAAAAGTATCCTTGTCATTTAAATTTCTTCTCGTTTTATTTTACTGATGTCAATAGGCATTGTCCTATTTGAGATTAAAAAATGAAAGTTTCTTTAAAAAATACACAATTTAATAATTATTAAAATGCGTACTTGGACTCGAATAATGACTTCTTCTATAAACTGCCATTGTATGAAATCATCACATCAGTAATATCTTTTATTTCAGAAATAATTGTGGCATAAATTTTAGGCGATTCCCCCTGTACAAAAAAATCTAAATTGTGCAAGCAAAGGATTACTCTAGAAATATGTTCAGTATTGTGTAATCAAATGAACTCGTCATTTTTCATTAAATTTAATATGAAAGTTTAAGAAAAGAAATTCTTACACGGTATTTTGAAGAGCTCCAACAAAAGCAGAGACCAGTTTCGCAGACAGTCCCAAACCAATGATTACGAGGCTCCCAATAACAGACCATAGAGTCCTGAAAATAAATAAAAAAACAACAAATGAGACATTAATTAAAATGTAAACAGTGATTTGCTTATTCAGAATCTATTAATTTATGTTATTACACATGCTATATCAATAAAAAGCAATGAAGCTTCTGGCAACTAATTAAAATTACGATTTTAAAATAGAAGCTGTTGGCATTTTAACTTTGCTAATTTTATTCATTTAATAAAGCGTAATGCTACACACAGCATCTTCGAACTGCACAAAAAGAAAAATTAAACTTAATATATAAACTGGAATTTTGAGTTTTTATATTACAGCAATAAGTAATTCTACATGCTCTTGACTAGCTGCAGAAAATGGAAACACAGAGTGGCATAACTGATGGTTTAAAAATCCTCCATAACGAATATAAAAATAAAAGAAACCGAAATATATAGGAAAACGGCGGAACGTTAAGAAGAGTCATTATTTGCTTTTAACTTTTGTACCAGAATTTCACTGTCAAACATTTGTTTTAAAATGTAACTATTTTTACTCCTTTCAAAACTCTCCAGCATATATCAATGCTTTAAATGATATAATTATTGAAAAAACTAGAACAATAAAGAGAATAAACTCAAAACACTTGTAGGAATAAATTTAGTTTTGCGTTTTTGTTTGTTATTAAACAATGTAAAAACACTGGATTCTAATCATTCTTATTCATTTAAAAAATTAATTTTCCTCGTACCAAAATGATTAGATAAAAATTGGAAAAAAAAATATAATCATTGCTTTGCGCCAATTTAGAATAAATACGTTATCTTAAGAACGAGGTCAACTTTTTACATATTCCCATAAAAATTTATTACAGAATTTAAATGAATATATCATTCGTTAGAATTTAAATTAATATATCATTCGTTAGAATTTAAATGAATATATCATTCGTTAGAATTTAAATAAATATATCATTCGTTAGAATTTAAATAAATATATCATTCGTTAGAATTTAAATAAATATATCATTCGTTAGAATTTAAATGAATATATCATTCATTTTACTTCTGAGAGACCGCCTCGTTATCTGGATAGGTTTCATTCATCTTTTGCTAGTAGTTAGTAGATAAAAAAGGCTCTCATGATGAAACCTTCTGAAGCATATTGAAATGAAGATGATGTACATTGTATTCGCAAAGGGGGTAAAAAAACCAAGGTTCAGCTCTTCACAGGCATAAACTTAGAAACTTGAAAATAGCTGAAAACAAAAGTCGAGAAAACACGAAAAAGATGGCAAAGAAATCTGACATTTCCAACATGACAGAAGTCCACATGAAGAAGGTAAATTTCATTCCAATAGTAAAAAAAAAAAATGGAAGAAAACCCCAAAATACACCAAAAAAACTTTATCGAGTTTTTAATGAGGAAGTTTTGGCATATGTAAAACCCTTATTTTGCAAAATGAAAATTATTTTTTCCTGTTAAATTACATTTTTAGTAGATGCAATGGGTTTTAGACCAGGGAGATCAGAGAAATATCAAATATTTGAAATTCTTATCAAAAAGAACATTCGAAATAAAAACCCTTGCGCGGCGACCATGTGAGAAGCATTTCATGCCAACGCTGATGGCAGCATATATTAGCTAAAATTGGCGAAATTTATCTATACAAAGCATTAGAACTTAGTCTATCTTCAAGCTGAATTTAACTCCGAATTACTATTCAAAAAACACGAATGAGTACTGAAAGAGTACTTACACGAATGAGTACTGAAAGAGTACTTACACGAATGAGTACTGAAAGAGTATTACTATTCAAAAAACACGAATGAGTACCGAAAGAGTACAACATCATTTTTGTCGCTTAACAAGATAATCCCCAGAATATTCTCCAGTCTGTCCCAACTGAAACGCTTTGGGCTTTGTTTAGTCGTTCGGATATGCCTGGTAAGTCAGAAGTGAAGAGATCTTTCGCAGAAGAATTACGTAAAAGTTATAGGGGGGTTACTTAAATCCTGCTCAGATAATGAAGCCTCCTGCCAGAAAAAAATTTGCCAAAGATCAAGGACGGTGGTGGTTATTCTAAGTTTAAATGTATAGGAATAATTTCAAGATTCTGAAACCAACATATAAACAAAGAAAATACAAAGCAGTCTTATACATTAAACACGTGGCACTATTTGTACTGTCTCATTTTATTTCGTTACAGGCGTTACTTCAAGAACGACAGCTGAGCTACTTCCAGAAGTTAATTCTTCTTAACAACTAAGTCACATAGTGATCATTTCTTTATCAATTTATTTAAAATTTGTACTCACGGTCTAAATGGGATGAATGGAACTGGACCAATCAAAAGAATGCCTATGCATGTCATAATATAGCCTACAATGCAGACTACTAATGGGCTTCCCTAAAAATAAAAATTTGGTCATAAATCAAACAATCAAAAACGCCTGAAAAATAAAATAAATATAAGGAAACTGGTGACAAATAAAATGTATTGCGTAATGAAGCTAGAGCTTGGAAAATTGTTTTTTATGTGTACTTGCCATCAAAAAACCCCGGCTTACATATATTTATAACTATAATCTAACTATAAATAGAAGTACTATGGGAAATGCCTTAGTTAACTAGAGACGGAAATATTTGCATTAAGAAAGAATTTAAATAGAGAATTTTAAATTTAAGAATGGGAAATTTTTTAAATCTCTTATCTCTTTCAAAATTAAATCCTTTTTTTTATGTTTAATTTTGTTATTAGCAACATACTTACTCCTTTATCGCATACTCTTCCCCAAATAGGTGTTGTAATAGCGTATATGCCTCCAGTGATGATAAAAATGGTTCCCAAGACCACAGGTTTAAGATTAAACTGTAACAGAGAATAGCAGAGTAAAGGTAAATATCTCACAATAAAATTTCACAAAATTGATATAAAATAATATTCGAAGCAAGAAATGTGACTTTTCTATTTGTTCATGAAATACAAACTAATTTTTAGTATAATAATCAGTGCTATTACTAATAACTTAAGGAGTAACTGTAATGTATTTTTAACATAAATTAGAACTAATTATTTACTTGTCTGAGATGAGGTTCAAGTGTTGCTGCGTTAAAACCGATAAACAGCAGTGATGAAATAATAGAAAATGTGAAAGATATAATTCCTCCATCAGATAAGAATTTAAGAAGATTTCGGGGTCCTTCTTGTCTGTTGGCATCCTCTGAAAAGTTATAAAGAAAAATATATGTATTTGTTTTATTTCTTTGTACAATAAATAAGGAACTTAAAATTAGTTATAAATTATACAAATGAAAGTTTACTTTACCACCTTAGTTGATATTTCCAAAATAATTCTCCTACTTACAGTATGAAGCTATTTTCATAAATGCACGTTTACTTGAATTTAAAAGTTCACTAATACATCTTGCGCAGGAGTAAATTTTAATTCATTTTCGTCCTTAATTTTGAATCATTTGATTCGATGTACTATTTCGAAAGGCAAGGAGAACCGTGCTACTACGACAGTGAAAATTATTTTATGAATTATTCCCAACTTAAAAATGTATAATACAACCAATATCTAGCTTCTCAAATAAATGAAAAGTAAATTTAAAAGAGAATGCATTTATAAAATAAGATGAGTAAATTTCATTGGCTGATACGGACGGCAATTAAATTTTCACATTTACTAAAATCTGTAAATTAAAATTAAAATTAAAATTTTGATATATAAGATATATTAAGACGTTATTTTTTATGCTGAATATTGCCTGCACTTTTCGACTGTTCTACCAGAAAAAGTAAATGAAGGGAATTTAAATAGTTAGCTGTTGCTGCTTACCTTTAGAGCTGTGCTTCGAGTTGAAGCGTTCGTTTTCCATTGAAATTAAATTAGTAGTCATAGGTTAGCGGAGCCAGGTTGTTAGACTTTTAATTTAAACTTAGATTTATAAATAATTTAAATCGTTGCTCTCCATACAAATAGAATTTAGTTTTGTTAAAATTTTAGTTTCCTGAAAATTCAGGATACATTGGCAATAAGTGTTTCAGTTTAATCTTTACTCTGTTATTTTTACTTCAGCATTCTAAGTTTGAAGGTGAAGACAGATGATTAATTCATTTGGCAAATCTAGCACGTTTAGATTAGCATTAAATCAAATAGAAGTTAATCATACAGATAAAAGTAGAAAGTGTAAGAAAATCTGTTTGACCAATTGATTAGTCTTAGAGAAGAAAAAATTTTTAAATGATAGAAAATTGTAAAGATTGGCAATGAAGGTTTATTAGACGCTTGAAAACGTTAGCCGTGTTTTTAAATGCAATATAATTTAACTGAGAATTAGGAACCATTGTATATATATATTTTTCAGGTTCTTCAGTTTTTGAGTTGATTTTTATCGAGAAAAATTTGCAGTTGATCGCTCTCAAATTCATTTAGTCTTCCCAAAATGGTCTATCAACAATACCAGTTTCGGCACTTCTAAAGCTTTTGAACAACTTTTGACAGACATCAGCGATACAGTGTTTTCTCTATATAGCTAAAAATGATCTGTTTTGCTTCCACAAGTTTTTTTTTTCCCCCCCTCGTTTTTCTTAAAAAAAAAAATATCAACTTGCAGAAACTTACTTCCATAAAAATCTTATTTCCTTTCCAATGCTATTATTACTTCTGTTTCCTGTGATATAAGTTTAATAATTTGGAGTTTCAGATGACAAGTCGAACAACATTTACAGTGCTAAAGTGCTCGAAATTAAGCTTAAATATATTTTATGACGCCTAACTCTATGAAAAATACAAAATTCTGATTAAAGTGTTTAGTTTTATTTTCTGCCAATAGATGGACACACTAGCCTCGTTCTATAGGATTGGAGAAATTTTCTTTATTGTCTCGTTTTTTTTTTTTTTTTTTTTTTTTTTTTTTTGTCATTAAATGCATGTACATCTCTTACGCATTCCAAAAAATATTTAAAGACGACTGCTGAGTCTTTTTTCAAAAACAAAAAGGTGTTTTTTCCAAAATGTTTCGAATTTTGCATCCTTATTTCAGATTTTTGTAGTAAAAAATAACTTTGAAAAAAATTTATGAAAATTATTTTTATTCATAGTAACATGTTTTCTATGCCTGTTAGATGCAGATCATTTTTATAGTTCGAAAAAGAGTGCCGTACGTTCACTTTTTCCCGCCTATCAAATATTGTTTTCCAATAACTCAGTCAGGAGCTCCTGTTCAACGGTTTTTCATCAAATATAAATTTACTTTTTAGTTAAATTTTACCTTAAATCATTTTTATAACTAAAGTATTGCTAAATAAACTATATTGCTTAAATTATATTACGGCTAAATTAGAAAGAAAAAAAAATAGGTTTTAAATTTCAAACAAAACTATTGAAATGAAATTACCTATGGTAGGTAGCAGACAACCTAATAATACACATCCAACAAGAAGAAAGCCTCCATTAACAACAAAAGGCAGTAAAAATCCTCCCAGCTATGAAGAAAAAGTAATCCATTAATAAATACAAAAGGTCTGAAATTTTAGATCATTATTCGCAATTTTAATTTAATTTTAAGAATGCTATTCACTGAAACAGATAAAAGCTTAATAATTTCAAGCACGCAAACTACAGTCTAGCCATTAAATTAAGAGTAAGAATTTTTAGTTAATCACTGCTAGGAAGAAAATATTAAATTCTAATTATGTTTTTGTTTTTACCTGATAAAGGGCTCCTCCAATAGTTGGACCAACAATTAGGCCTAAGCCAAATGCAGTTTCCATTAAAGACTATAAAAGTAAAAATTGCAATGAAACCTTCAAAATACAAGGAAAAATACAATCTTTTAGAAATAATAAACTATTAATTTTTTTTTTATTAATATAACATGGTAAAGGTTAACGAAGACCACAAAAGCGTATCCGAAAGGCAGGATTATAAATGAAATGCTGTTTAAGGTGGGATAATTAGCTTTTGTAGCTAAAAGTTTCGGAATTAATTGCGTCAAATAGGAGAAGGGAAGAAATGGAATAATTGCTAATTTTGAACTCATGCAGCGAACTGCATGAAAAGATTTCCCCCCCCCCATCAGACAACACGGGGATTTTCACACTGTCCGAAAAAAGACATCTAAAAAATGTTTCCCTTTAAGACAGCTGAGGATTACTATGCAGTTTTACTTCCCGAAGCCACACAGCCGAAGTGAGTAAAACAGAAAAAGAAAAACAGTGAAATAGAATTAGCAAACACAAGAACAAATAAAGAAAATAAAAATGACACAATAACTGATAAGCACATTAATTAAAGTATCCGACTACATATTTTAATCGTCAATTTTGATGAAATTTTTATTACTTTATTTTAAAGGTTATGTATTAAGCTTCCAAAACTATTTTTATTCTCTCTGACCGGTCATTAGAAGCAGAATTAAGGCTTGTCTTGTTCTACGCCGTGAACCGGATGTTTTTGTTTAAGAATCTGGAAGTTGCGTCTAAAGGTACACAGACTGCTCTAAATAACTTTAAAATGAGAACTTCTCATTTGGATGCTTTTGGTGATGTTGTGGTGATGATTTTGAGCCTTTCTGTTTGTTATTAAATGCTTTGGACTTTGCAATTAATTTCTACACTTGGCAACATTTTCTTTTCCTTCTGTTTGTGTTTGCATTACATTAAAACTATCTTTTGAAAAACTAGATAATTTAACGTTTCTCTTACGAAAAAAACTTAAAATATTAGTATAGTAAATTTATGACACTTTTCACAAATATGCTGCTGAAAAATATTGTGAATTACATGGACTAAACATTTAGATTTATGTATATATTAAATTTCTTTCAGACAACTTTGTAAAATGAAAAAAGAGAAATTGGTCGGAAAATTGCTAGTGCTTGTACTCAAACAAGCATAGTTAATAGATGTTTCATTTTATCGCTTAAATTTTAGTTTCTTTAGTTTCGACCTTAATAAACATAAGTGACAAATATAGAAGTAAAATATTGATAAATAGTTTTTGCGGTAACATATCTAGTAATCCTGAAATTTAACGCATTTTTAAAACAAAATTCAAGGAAAACATTATACTTTAATAATATATTTATCACCTGCTTCTATCATTTTAAATAGTATTCTGCTAAATAACACCAATAATAGATTTATTTGCACTATTTTCCAAAATTTAGGGGTTGAACACAGTCAGATACTTTAACTGGAACAACAGTAATAAAAGCAAGAACTAGCAAAAAATAAAAGGTATTAGTAAACACAAACTCTGGCATTAGCAACATCTTTCTTTAATTACAATAATAGAGTGAATGTTTCTACTATTATAAATTAGGTAAGTATAAAGCATATGAAAATCATTTACATAAAATAGCAAATTTGAATAAGTTATTACACTACCAATGAAGATTTGTTCATATTTATTCAGGTAAAAAACTAGTATAAAATGTCCCACAAATTATTATTAGTATCTTCTCTCAAATCCAAAAACTCATAGGTTGATTATACATACACTCACATATAATTAATATATATAGAGAGATAGATAGATAGATACAGATATAGATATGATAACGCTGACTTAGATGTAGTTCAGTAGATATGTTACCGTTAAAGTACATAATGCAGTTATTTCATAGAATACCTAGTTATTTCAAGAAATAACTGATCATGTCTGTCAAAGTGTGTAATATGTTAATAATTTGACACTTTAACTAGTTATTCTATGAAATAACTTGGTATTCTATAAATTAACTAATGAGAGACAGTTAAAGTGTAAAATAAACAATTTATCTAAAATGAAATAACTAGGTATTCTATAAATAAACTAATGATAGACAATTAAAATGAAAAAGAAGCAATTTATCTAATTTATGCAGCGTATAGGTGGTATTTATGGAAACATACCATAAAATCATTTATTACAACAAGGATTACTAAAATGACACTTGGAATTACAAAGAACATTATTTCTAAAACAAAAACATTTTTTGTTGACACACTGGGTTTTACACGAACATTTTTTAAATCCCTGACCAGTAACTGAACTTTGAGCTGTAGCAGCCGACCGGAACAATATTTCTACATCCAATGAATGTATCAATGTATTTGTCGTTGACATTTTAAGAGTATGGCGAAAAAGTATACTCGTTGTTTTATGCTTTGGTATATTTGCCGTCCTTCAAAAATTATTTTTATTTGAGTTCGAAATTAACGTTTTTTCCCCGCTACTTTCCATATTGTTAAACGAAACGTAAATGCACCTTATACTAAAAAGCGAGATATATGCTATAGATTATTTTACACTTTAACGGGCTGCAGATCGTTATTCTATGAAATAACTAGTTAAACCATGAAATACAAGACAGTTTTACACTTTAACGGACACGATCAGTTATTTCATGGAATAACTAGGTATTCTATAAAATAACGGATTTCATACTTTAACGGTAACAGATATACTGATTGCTCAAATGTTGGTCCCTAATGAACAACAAACTTGACAGCATCGGCAGATTAAATATTCCCTTTCATTTCAATTGATATATAAAATCAATTGTGTGCACCAAGTGAATTGTGGCCAATTCGAGTGGCCACAATTTACTTGGTACTCTAATCGTGCCTATTTCAAAACATTTACATTTTTAATAGCTTTTGCAGAAGAAGCAAGCTGTAAGCAGGGGTGCAAAAAGCAAGCGCATAATTATTAAAATTGGCAGCTTATTCAGAGAAAAATTTCGGTTTTCGAAATTTTGAGTTCCGAAATAGTTAAACCATGAAATACAAGAGAGTTTTACTCTTTAATGAACACGATCAGTTATTTCATGGAATAACTAGGTATTCTATAAAATAACGGATTTCATACTTTAACGGTAACATCATTACTGTTATGTAATACATCATAGCATATGAATTAGTCTAGAAATGACACAATCCAGAAAAAGTAGTTAGTATTATTAAAACAAAGGAGGAATACCCAAATTAAAATGAGAAATTAAGAGGCTACTTCTAATTCAAATTATAAATTTCATTTACATAATTTGCATATGTTTTATCATATATATTGAATGATCTAAAATTGACCGAGTTCGAAAACAAGTTTTTCTAATACTTGCGCAATAGCTGCGAAGTAAGATAATAATAATTTATTTACTAAAGAAATATTGATTATATTATCTCCTAATATAAATTTAGTAGAATGTATCAAAACAGAAGGAACACATATGTAGGAAGTTTAATTCCGAAAATTGTGTTTTAAAGTATCAAAATTTTAACAAACGTTTTCACTCACATAAGAACGCCGCAACAAACGCCTCTCAAACATTCCAAGTCCCTCCCACGTCCCAAAATTAGCTTCTCAAAAGTTTCACCTCGTGTAATAACTCAAAGGTATCCCCACTGCCGATAACGGAATTTTGGACATACACCCCTTCTGAGTAAGACACAGAAGAGAACACTTTACCGATATCCCCACTAGAAAGAACATAAGTTAATTAATGCATTTTCTGGCCTTTATATCTTCATGTACATTTCATATTTTACTTTCTTATCATATATATTTCAATTTTTAATTGATTTGTTTTTGCAAAAATAACGTTCTTATGTTTCTTATTTTTCTCATGTTTATTTCAACTATTTTGAGTTCTTTTTTATAATTCCAATTAAGATTACTACTGTTGATTATGCTTATTTTTATAAAAATAGTCTTGAATTAACATGCATAAAAGCGAAGGTGTCGGGGGAAATTTACTCAAGTATTTTGTAAATTTTGCTACATAAATTGGCTTTTCACTCAAAATTTATAAAGAATCTTGTATTAGCGAAAATGCTTCATTCAGAATGAGTTCTGTAGCACTCTACTTTGGTTATAAATCCCATCACTTCACAGAACTACAATATTGGCCTAACTTAATTTCCCAGTTTGGCAACATCATTCTCACTTGAGTAAAAGAGGAAACACCTTCGCATTTATTAATTATTGTTCATTGAACGGGAGTTGGTTTGTTCCCCTTGAAAAGTCAACTAATTTCCGATCAATAGCGATAATTAGTTGTTTTTAATTTTTAATTTCTTTTTCAAAGTTTGTAATTTTGTTATTCACGATTTAAATTCAAGTCCGCATAAAAACGTTTTTTTTTTTTTTTTTTTTTTTTTTTTTTTTTTTTTCTTTCAGGATTTACGTCATTCAAGTTACTTTTTAAAACACAATTTTTCGGAATTAAACTTCCTACATATGAGTTCCCTCTTTTTTGATGAAGAGAGTAACTTCTACTAAATTTATATTAGGAAATAATATAATCAATATTTCTTTAGTAAATATATATATACACGAGTTATATGATGTTGTTATAGTTATTATATGATATCAAAACTGATACTGATGTGTATCTCGGCGGTTAAAAGCTACGACGTGAAAGCTTCTGTAGGAATGTTTTCAATTCCCGGATAACATTAACAAGTTCTGATTTACAATTCTTTCAAACATTATAAAAGTAAAATATGCTAGTTAATATAATTCAAGTGCGTACCAAGTTTCCCTTTAATATTTATTTTGTATGCAAATTTCAAAATAACTGAAAGACAAAATTAACGATTCGTATTCTTATTTTAAACGTTCCATTTATAAGGATAAAGCGCTTTTTGTAGCAAACAAATTTTTTCTGGGAATTCATGTTCTTAGAAAAAAGGGGAAGGTAAAAGCAAAATCGTGCAATTCTCACGACTTTTCTGGCATTTTCTATATTTAGTTTACCCTTCATCTATTAACATGGAAGGTGGAAAAACTGGCTATTATTCATTGGTCTCGTAGAATTAGTACATCGATAACACCCCCTTAATTAAATCTCGTGCAGCTTGTGCACTACACAGACTTCCAAAAAAAAGCTGCAAAAATGGAGCTGAGAATTTTGCAAAGCTAAATTTCGTTATTGGGAAGAATTAGAAAACTAAGTTCCCCATCAAACATTAGGTACAGAGGTTTGTCTGTGGTTTTATGGCAATCATAACTTACTACGAGGTAACTCATAAGGGCAGAAATTGTAAGAAGAAAAAGTAAAAGATTGATTTCATGGATGCAGCATTTCAGTATTCGATTCAGTGAATAGATGATTGTATCCAGTTGTGAGCACCAAAAAAGAATGAACATCATACAGATTTTTTTTTAAACGTTTCTTCACTTGCATGGGGTAATGGCGCAATGACGAATATATAGAGAATCCTTTAAAAGTCCTACAGAGCGAGAAACTAAACAGACAGCAAATTCAATAGCTAAGCCTTGCTTCTGACAGCAAGATTCTTTCAAGTCTCGCCAACCTCATTCAGGTACTCAGGGTTTATGTTCTTCTAGAGCAGAATTGCGAGACAAATTTCGAGAGCACTAAAATTATATGTCGTCTTCATATGAGCAATTTCAAATTAGAGGATTTTATTACTTCGTCATAGAACTTTACCCTTAAATTAATAGTTCATCTTAAAATTTCCGCTTAAGAATAATGTATTACATAGTCGTGTGGAACTTTTTCATGCTTAATTTCGCTTTCGAAAATTATTCGTAATTTAGTCATAGACGTCAAATAATAAAGTTCATTTCTATATTTGTACGAAAAACAAAGATGATTCTACTTCCAGACGAACGTCCACACTTCAAAGTTAATTGTATATTATAATATTTTGTGTTTCCCAACCAAGTAATAAGTATTTGCAAGGTTACATCAGTCCTCACAGTCAAATATCAGAAGCAGCAAACCTGCAATATAATTATATGCATTAGCTAATTATAATGTTAATTTACAAACTCTACTATTAAGCAAGCACAAAGCCAGTTTATTGTATTATAGACCTTTATTCTCAGGACCATCTTCTCCTTATCTTCTTTCTCCAGCGTCATCTGTTTCTCGCTGTGTTATTAACATCTTCCAGCCTTCAACCAGATGCTCGAATCCAATTGTGGATACCAGTAAATTACATTCTTATAATATTCACTAAAATTACTGACAAGTTGCCACTGCTAAAAAAAACCGCAGTTTGTTTAAATGATATATACCATGCAAATTTTTAATATTATTTAAATAAATAATGTCCCTTTTGTAATCAATTTTATCACCTATTTTCCTCTATTTTGAATATTTAATTTACAATTACGTAATTTGTTTCAAAACACATAATTTCATAACACATTATCTTTCAACTATTTTAATAATTAGTAGAAAGCTCCAATAGAATAAATAGGATTTCAAGAATCGTTAACAAAAGCAATTTAATAAATGCATTATACCAATCTTAGGTATACCTAACTATCCAAACAATAAGAAAAGCTCTTAGGTTCTGAAAGAAATTATTACGTGAAAATAATAAAAATCTATAACAAATATTTTTAAATCATTAAACGAAACGAACAAAGATTAAAATCTTGTCTTAACAGCATGATAGAATTAAAGATTTATATTTGCATTTTACAACAGGTATTTGCAGAAATCATATTTAAACTGGACACGGAAAACTTCATTACCATTGAGTCATCACTGAATGGTAATGAAGTCAAAAAACATTGAGTCATCAGTGAATGGTAATGAAATCAAAAAACTGAGTCATCAGCCACTGAAAGGCATTTAGATAAAGTTTATACATACGAAACTTGTGGCGACGCTCTCAGGAAATGCAGCTGCGATTATCGTGAAGGAAGCAGTCATTAAAGCTGCGGCGCCAAAGCCTTCAAATATTCGAACCACAAAGGCCATAGATATGTATATAGTACCAGCTGGGGCATAATCCAGGACCCTAAAAGCATGAGTATTAAATAGATATACATAGAGAAATGCAATAGAATTCTTCACATAAAAGCACTAACTTTACGTTTGAATACATAAAATAGCTTATTAGTTAGTTACAGGTACAGAAATGAAAAAAAAAATTAATGCAAAATCAGAACTTCTATTCTCCAGAACTTGGAAAAAGAGACCACTTACAATAAATATCAATAAATAAATAAATGAAAACTATAGAGGAGATAAAAAATTTAACTAAAAATATATGAAACATTTATATAAATAATCCTCTTACATACAACTTAAGGCAGGTTACTACTACTACTGAATTACTTTAAATCTAAAATTAATTGATCATTCAGTAAAGCCTTAATGAATAAGAAAAAAAATATGAGAAGAAATTCATAAAAAATTTAAAACTACGGTAACTAAAAACACTATATTTTCGCAGATAAAAGTATAAAAACATTGATAATACAAATACGAATAACAGTTTTCTTTTGGCGAAGAGGCGAAAAATAATTCCATTTGCTCCTGAAGAACAGGGCTCTACGGCTAATCACGCTCGAAATCTACACAGATTTGTTCAAAACGTACGCTAAAATAAGGCTGCTCTTTTGCCTAATTCTGTGTTTTACATTGGAGTCTTTCTCTTCCAATTTGCTTAAGAATATTTTTCAAACATTTTGCTTGCGAAAGTTGCTCCAACCTGACACTGCTATTTTGGGATTTATTCAAATTTTGGGGATTTGGGAACACACTCGCAACTATATTTTTCTACTAAGTAATCCTATATTTTTTAATATTTTACTTTAGGTAAACATGGCTATTCATGTTTAACTTTTTACTGGTTTACAAAAGCAATCGACTTTTTTGCAAGTAAGAGCAAATTATCAGTTATCTATCAGTTATTACTAGATTTCACTGTAACTTAAGCCACAACTACACCCTAATATTTTATTTTTGATTTATTTTACTACCTCTGTTTGTTTCCTTTAGTGTTTTATACATTTTATACGTTTATAATATTTGCATAAAACAGAAACTGGCATTTGAATGCGTATCATGAATGAGATACAAGCAGATTCTTATCGTTCTGCAACGCAAAATCATTTTTAATAATTAGTTTAGGTTAATTTGACTACTGTGGAGCTCAGAGGAGCTATCTGCCAAAGGGAAGGGATGCTATCGTGGACGATATTCTATTCGATGAAGAAGAAATTTAAGGAAGGAGATCAAAGTCTAGTTTTGGAACCCCAAGAATCGCCAAGGAATCTCACGCAAGCCACAGACATTCTGAGAGGCTTTATCCTGTCTGATAAAAAAATTTAACGACTCAAAGAACTCCATCTTCTAAACCTAAAGTAGTGAGTGTAACAGACTTGCACAGCACCATGGAAATGATGTTAGTTATTCTTAGGATTGCATAGTCCGGAACATACAGTTCTTGAGGGCTCGATGCCGTAAATTTCTAAAATATTTAAATCGTTTTTATTGCATTGCTGTTTTTGTGTTGTAAGGATTATGTTAATTTTATTAACAGTTAAATTTTCTTTCCTATCGATTCTTAATTTCAACTTACCACTTCCCGCCAGAATGTAGTTTTAGAATCACGTCTGAATGCTAATGAGGAAGAGCCTTAATGAAAAAGGAAAAAAAAATGAAAAAGGAACCGCGAAATTCTTCTGTCTTAGTGAGAGAGATATCAGATATTCTGGCTGCACGCGTCCGCTTTTTTAAGCTACTCTCTGGTAAGCTATCATTACGCTCGGCCGTACTTTAGGCCCTTTGATAGCAGTCTATTAGCGTTAAGGAGCCAACTCTGTTAGAATTTTGATAGCTTCGGCTGTATCTCTTTAGTTAAGATAGTTTAGTTTGAATCTTAGTCTCTTAAGTTCAAGCCCAAGTGTCGGCTTTATTGTACAACTCCAAGACGGAGTTCTCCTACTCTTGATTGGAATAATAAAGGGTTATTTTACCCTTTATCTTGTTGTTTCCTGTCACGAGCATCATTAACTTGCAAGACATCCTGCAGCATAATCGTCACACTAAAATTACCATGGTCTGGGTCAAAGCCCACAATGGCAACCAGGGAAAAATGAGCAGCTGACCGTTTGGCTAAGGATGTTGCAAGCAGCATCTCGAAGCACAAGAAATAAATATTCCTGCCCCACCATCCTATCTAAGCGTCATTTGCAGGGACAAGCAATACGACAATGGCAAGAAGAATGGACTAATGCGAAACTGGAGGCGCAACCTATGAGCGTATTTCAAAGGTATCAAACTGACCCGCTTATCGCCATTGGCTCCTTGGTAAACTACATAAACAGGTCACGGGCCGTTCCCGTCTTATTTTCATCGACAGGGATATCAAATACAGACATCTGTGCTGTGGAGAGACGGAACGCCAGACCACTACCTATTCAGGTGCCCTCTGACAAATACCATGCATCTTTTCATGCCCACGAGCAACATAACTGCTACCACCGCACTGATAATAAAGCACAAGGGAAGCAATTAATGCAATATGTAAAATTATAAATTATCGCGGCACTAGGTCAGGATATCTGCCAGCCCATTAATCAACATAAGATTTTCCACTGCATTTTATCCAGGAAACTACAATTTGCACACGCATACCTTTATATTATACCTAAACAGAACTTAAACTGGTTTTGAGAACTCTTGCACAATAGCAAATATTTAATGAACTTTAACGCTGTCATGTGTCCTTATTAGTTCTATACAAGCACAGTTATTATGTGCTTTTGTCAGTATTTATACGACTCTGTAGCATGCCTTCCTATAAGCATCATATCAGCTCTCGTATCATATGTTTCTATTAGCACTTATACTCATATACTATCATATGTATCTTGTCTACCTTAATATTTATTTGCACAATGTGTTTTATTCGTATTATATCTGCTTTGCTATTAGTATCATTCAGCTCTGCACCATGTATATTTATTGGCATCATATATACTTTGTACCAAGTGTATTTACTCGTTCTTCACTTGTACTGCATCTACTCATCACTATGTCATTTAATTACCCCTATATTTGTTCTGCATCATGTATATATATTAATATCATATTTGAACTGCATCATGTGTTCCAATCGCATGACAGCCTAAGTTCGTGCGCTATGAGTTGTCTAATCATAAGTTTTTTTTTTTTTTTTTTTTTTTTTTTTTTTTTTTTTTACACATATAGTATCATATGTATTATCTGAAACACCAACTGTTTACCCCAAATATTTATCTGCATTAAAGATTTTCATTTGTATTACATCTACTTTAATCATGCGTTCTATTAGTACAACATATGCTCGTGACCATATGAGCCTAAAGCTATTATCTGTCCTGCATCATGTATATTCATTGTATCATATCTGTCCTGCATCAAATGATTTTATTCGTACTATACCTGCTCAGCGGCATGTGGCCCTTTTTTTTTCTTCTCATATCTGATTGCATCATACGTGTTCATTAGAACATAAACTGCAACTGCATAATGTATTTTTGATGTATTTCTATTAGTATCATATCTGCCCTATGTCACGTTTTTAATTAGCTCTAGATTTGCTCTGCATCATGTGTATATACCAGCATCATACCTGCTCTGATAATAAAGTACCCTAATATTTATTTGTAACATATGCTCCTATTTGTATTATATCTGCTTTGCATCATGAGTTTTATTAGTATAACATATGCCCTGTACCATGTGTATCATATTTATGCTTGCATCATGTGTTTTCATTACTATTATCTCTGTCCTGCATCATGTGCTTTTAAATAGCATCATCTCTGCCCAAAGTCATGTGTTTTGAACAGTATTATAGTTGTCCTGAATCATGTCTTTATTTAGCTCTATTTGCTCTGTATAATGTGTATATACTATTAACATATTGCTCTGCATCATGTACTCCTATCATGTGTTAGCCTAGTTCATGCACTATGAATTGTCTCCCCATAAGTATTATTACTCATATACCACCATCTGTTTCATATGTAACCAAAAGTCATTGCTAATAATTATTTGCAACTTATGTTATTATCTGTCTTTAAAACTGCCCTGCATCATGTGTTTAATTAGTATACACGCGTGCTTGTATATCTGGCAATGTTACACGCGTGCTTTATATCTGGCATGCACCATGTGTTTTCATAGTATCGCAGCTTTATCTCTGTCTGCTCCGTGATCTACCAGTTTTATTACACTTTTTATATGTCACATAGTATACATCTCCCAGCATTATATGTTCTAACAGATCACATTGAATGCTTATTAGTACTCTACTTAGCAGTCTGTGAGTATGTTCTGTATTTTAAGGTGTTGTTGTGTTATTATGTCTTACATTTTTATGCCACCTCCACCCTTTTTTTTTTTTTTTTTTTTTAGATTTTAGATTTCCTGTACAACCACGGTAATCCTAAAACTTTCAAATGTCATACACATCACTTGTAATGTAGACTATGTCAACCGCCCTTGTATGGCCATGTAACTTTCTCATTAAGATTCAAATATACTCCCGAGGCAGCCTGATGAGGCTCCAGGGAGTTGTTGCCACTAGATAGTGGAGGACGCGGGGCATATGCCTGTTTACCTATGTTAAACATCAGGCGCCCTCGTCCTCCGTCACATGTCACATGTCACACGAACTCAAGCGATTATTCGCTTATCAGTTCTTAAAATTCTTCACTTTCAACGATAACTTAGAATTACACAGTGGAGAATCCTACAGTGTATTGCTGCGATTTTATATTTTACTTATTTGTTAGTGTAATTTTTGCTTTTAAGTAAGTTTTGTGATTTACTTCGGGCACAGTTGAATTTGTGGCTTTATTTTTGCGTATAAGCGCTTATATCTTACATAAAATTGTGTATTTTTTAATTGTCCACAACGTTTAAGTTTTAAAAATAGTTCAACTAGAAACTCTCCTAATGGGCTTTAGCAACAATTTTTGTCACAAAGCTGGCGACATTTAGCAATTTCTCTCAGCTGGTGACTTTCTGGAAGGCTTGGGAAAATACAGTTTAGAAGCTTCGTCAACAATCTTGCCCGAAGCTTCAACGCCATATAAATAATGCTTTGAGTGCTAGGAGACTTTAATCGGTAATCTGATCTGAAAGATTACGATTCGAAACGTTTACTGAATTTCAGTTTAGAGTTTATTCTGTGAATGATATCGGGAATTTATGATATTTCTTTCTTGCACTAAGAAGGGACTTGTCTACTTTTTGCGTTCTTTTTTAGCTTTGCAGCTATTTATTTTGATGTCATCATTATTATTATTATACAATCCTCAGTTTCTCGTGGCGCATCTGGAGTGGCTGTTTAAAGAGACATCCATGAACCCGCAGCTCCCAACAATGCTATGCTTAATTACGGCTGGCATATTTAATACAAATTTCAAATATCTTAGAATATGATACTTTCAAATTATGCTGCTTAATTGCATGTAAATTAAAATTTACCCAAATACGCAGCAAGCAGCTCCACCGACTAGCACACCAGCTGTGATAAGAAACTTGGGCGTAACAGTTGGAATCTGAAAAAGAAAAGAGAGTGAAATAAAAAAAACAGCGTTTGGCCCATAGCAGTGAGTAGACGAAACTATCAAAGTATTTAAAAAAATGTATGATATACGAGACTAAAGGCACTAACAAAACACTTTTGTAAGTAATTTTTTAAAAGACTGGTAACTTTACAGACTGTCTCAAATTGTAAATTTTTAATAATTAAACAAACGTAGTATATGCTTGCTTAATAATACACTACAGTTTTATAGCTATGTGAAGGTTTTACTCTGTGCTGAAATTCGAAAACATAAATTATTATCTCGAACATGTTTGGATTTTAAAAGGTTCGGTAACTAAATTATGAGGTAATATGTATATTAAATACCATGTGTTTTAAAATACATTTAAAATTTTCTCATGTTTTATAGAATTCTAATTCTAGCTATTCCATGAGAAAATTGTTACATATTTTTTCAGCAGAAGTTTTTTTTATCGTTAATATAATTTTCGAATAAATCTTTCACGCGATTTTCTTTAATTCTGACCAACGGAATATACGATTTCTGAGGTTAATTTCCTTCAAGAAGTGTAAGATTAGCTCTGTGTGACATTACGGGAAGACGAAACAGTTCGTTCTTGAATTGCTGAATGAAGCGACCAAATGGTAAAGAATAGTTTATAATGATAATTTTGAAGAGAAAATCATTTTCTTTATATAATACTTCTGTAATTCAAAATTTGGAAAAGAATAAAAATATTAGCACGCTGGGAAGGAAAAATCGATGCTCATAAAAATTTGACAGGAAAAAAAAAATAAGAAACGTGAAAAATTTGAGAAAAATTTAAATATTTGTTGACACAGTTCAGGATTAAAATATATTATTTAGCCCTTGTTTATTATGCACATGATATACATAATTTATCACATGATATATATAACGATATTTAAGGAATTTTAACTAAACTGATTTTTTTCTCACTGAATCTGTTCGTATGAAGTAACAAAAGTTCGGACTTCGCGCATTTACCTGTTCCTACAAATTAGTCCATAAATAATAAACGAAATGCAGAAATGGTTAGACTATTGATGTAAAAGAAATGTGACCACAAAAGTCCCCATATCATGTTATGAGGCTACGAAATGCAAAATAATTATAAGATGAAATTCGTAGAAAAGCATAGAAATGTAAAATTAAGAAAAAAAAAAAGCAACCTTAGTTTGATGTAGATTTTGAATAAAACTATCAATTTCGAGGGGGAACAGAGATAGGTCCCTGTTCTTCAGAATCAAAAAAATTTTTTTTTTCGAAAATGTGAGGAGCGATAACCATTTTCTATCAAAAGCAATGAACACAGCAAAGCGAAATATAATAGGGCCAACAATCCAATGAAAATAGTAATGAAATTTGAAAGAATACGATATTAAAATTCTGAAAGTATGAAGAACTGGATTGGAATAAATGTCACTAATTAAAGAAGGCAAATTTTTCTGCATATGAAAATCTTCCAGGGAATCCGAATCACCAAATGAAGAAGCTTTACCGATATTTTCGCAGAGTTAAGTCGCAGAGCTGTTGATCGAGTGCCCTCGCTTCTCTTACTTTTGTAGAACATTCCTGAAACGTAGTTCCTAAAAAAAAATGTTCTTCAAGAACCTTTCTGTTGTTGGGAGAGGGGCGTTCCCTACAAAGAGGAATCTCCGTTCGATTGCCTCCAAAATCCATAAAGTTTCATTCAAAATCTACTCCAAACTAAGGTTACTTTTTGCCAAAATTTTAATTAAAGTTGACTCCAGATCTGTTGAGGGTATATTGATTGCGTCTTGTTTAACAAAAAAGTTTGTTTATTGCGGAATGATTCAAAATGGCTATCAGAAACCATTAGAAGTAATCACAGTTTCTACGAGAAATAGAGGAAAGTAAAGAAAACGGAGGGGGTTAATAGCAGTAATAGTAAATGATATTAGAGTATTCAGATATTGTTTTATTCACAACGCCAAGTAATTTTTTTTTTTTTTTTTTTTTTTTTTTTGATTACGGACATCACTGAAATTAAGGAGATGGACACACTAGCATCCGCCAAAGGGAGGAACGCCCCGTAGATAACTTTTAATGTAAACAATTGCACTGTTCATATGGAAAACTACAAAAACGCACATTAAGCCAACTTGTTCACTAGGTTCGAACCCCGAACCGAACTACCAGTGTTTAGCCACTTTAGTGCTGAACCGCTTGTACAAGTACGCTTACAGTACGTAATTTGATGTTGCATAATTTGGAATATATAAACATTGTTAAATCATCTGTTAAAAATAAATTATGTGGACAGCCATTTATTTATTAATTATTTTTAATATGCGTTCTTGTTTAGTATGCTGATTTAATTTACATAATCAATAAACTTATTCTCCATGTTAAACTGCTTCAAAACATAGATAAATTGTTAATAATAATGTGGGTTTTTCTTCTTTCCAGCGTTTTTAACTGCGGCTCGACTATTATCCATGATTTTGGGTAAATCGTGGCCGTTGATCCCACAATTACCCCGATTAACTGGAAATCTACTGTATAAGGTGACTACATTAATATCAATATAGCTTGTGCTTTGTACATAATTTTACTGAAAATACAAGTAAAATAAAAACATTCTAAGTAAAAGTGACAATAAATGATAATTCATTTATTTCGTGGAAAAAACGAAATCTCTTCCCTGAAAATTTATTATTCAAGGCTTTAGTATGGCACAAATCTACGTGTTGTTGGCATAGAAATTAAACTATTTCAGTAATAGTTTGTTTAAAAAGAACAGGTTTTGCAACGCCGAAGGTAATTATTACAATACGCCAGAATTCAGATTTGCTGCAAATATACAAAGTTTACCAGATGCAGAAAACTGCGCGAAAGCGACGCCCCTTCTCTAGAAAAGATTTATTTATAGAAAATCTCCGAAATTTAAACAAAAGCAGATTTGCCGTTGTTTTTTCTTCTCATCAGGCGGCTGTGCTGTTATCAGCCAAATTTACCGGATGTTGAAAGCTTGACAAACTGGAGGGTTTTTTTTGTGTTGATCTTTTGTTTTTAACTATTCTTTTCATTCACAAGCTCATCTTTATCTTATCCTTAGATGATTTCTTATTTATTTGATCGCATTCTATTCACCTATTCACTGATCGCAATAAACAACATTCCGAAACAATAGTTCAGATTTATGCAAGCTATGCTGTAAATGTTTGCGTATTTAGCGATCATCTCAAGGTTTTCTGATTTTAAACTGAAGATAATATAGTTAAGCTCAGATTACAGTGCTTGAGCTTTTGAATGTTTTAAAGGTTTATGGTCTTTCAGTTTTATCGCAAAGAAACTGCAGCCGTAGATTACCATTTTTAGCAAAAATAAGTCGCATTTGTAAATCTGTATTAAAAGATTTTCAGTCACGCATATGGAGTAAGGAATAGATGTAAATCCCTAAACTAAATGCACATCTACGCAGTCAGACATTCGCCTTTTTTTTTTTTTTTTTTTTTTTTTTTTTTTTTTTTTTTTTTTTTTGTTTGTTTTTAGTAATGAGCTACGAAGTAAAAAAAAAAATATGGAAAGAAGACACATTAGCATTTAACATAAGAAACAACTAAAACACCGGACTTCCTGTTTTTGACTATTCATAGATATTAAACACTGACTTCAAGAGTTTATTTTTATCTAAAAATGAGCAAATAAAATCTTTATAGTTGTGCGAAGTATTTTTTGTAAGCCATTCCTCCTCTTTACAAGGGTTGATTTTCTTACCATGCTTTCAATTAACTGAAAGCTGAAGACAAATATAAAGCATTTTTGCAAATGTAAGAAGAAGAAAAAAAAAAAAAGAAAAAAAACAGCTTTCTGTTTGCAAAATGTTTTTGTACTTACATGCCAGAGTACTGTACGTGCTAGTGTGATGCACTTGAAAATGCTAGTGAACGCAGAAGGGAAAGGTTTGAAAGAAAGGAGAAATCAGATTGAAAATGAAGAGGCCAAAAAAAAATATAAAAGAAAGAAAAACATAGCCATATTTAATTCTCTTTTTTTTCTTTTTATACAGGGTGTCCCAACAAGACCAGCCAAATTGCACAGCCAGATTTCTCTTGTGGAATATATAAAAAGTGTTCAAGAACTGTACCTGTACAGGCCATAGTTTTCGAGATAAACGCAAAAGAAAAGTATGACGTCTTATCTGAAACTTTATTGAAACAAGAACATCGGTTTTCCCACATGTTTGCTTAGGAAGATGTTCAAATTGTCCACCGTGCATATCGAGGTATGCATAAGCGCTTCGTGAAATGTCTTACTACACGTTGCAGTAACGCAATGTCCACCAAAGTATGTACACGCAGCATAAAGACCAGAAACTAAGTCAACTAGGTAGTAACTAGTAACTAGATTGTGGCGGCCATAAAACCGGACCACCATATCCAATCCATCGATCTGGACATTCCATATCCAGCCGACATGGTACAGGAGTGTCGAAATGCGACTCATTGCGCTGGAACCATAGGCCATGTACGAGTATTGCCACTAAGGATATCTCATCTAGGAAATCAAATACCGTATTTACGCGAATCTAATGCGCATCGTTTTTGGCCAAATGTAGTATTCAAAATTGGGGTGCGCATTAGATTCGAGTGCAAAGTTCGCCGATGACCGCGAATTGACCCCGACAGGAAAAATTAAGCGTGCTGCACCGCACATTGTTGCACTGAGTTTCTGTTGCCTGGAAAAGCATCGAAGCACCAAAGATTGTGAAATCTTTCAAGAAATGCTGCATTTCAAATTCATTGAATGGCAGTGAAGATGACGAGCTCTAGAACGCCGAGGATGACGACGATGATGATGAGGAGGAAAGAAGAAAAGAAATGAATCTGCGTCTGACGAAAAGAGCTGCGAGGATTCCAGTGATGAAAACAGTGAATAAAGACGTTTACTATTAATCACTAATTGTAGAAACTGTTAGTTAGATAGAAATGTTTTACGATTTATTTCATGTTCATATTTTACGATAGGTACCGGTATATATACGGTAGTGGTAATTAACAGTGATTGTTTCACATAACAATTGCCCACTAATAGGTTAATTCTATGTTCTACTACTTTATGTATAAATCCATTGTTGTATAAAATATGGTATCTAAATTTAAATAAAATTATCATACCATTAATTGATAGTTTATATACAAATCCACTGTTGTATAAAATAAGATTCAATAAATTCCTCATATCATTGATGCGCATTACATTCGCCGACAAACAATTTTTTTATTATTTAAAGTTTTAAAATGGGGATGCGCATTAGATTCGATGGCGCATTAGACTCGCATAAATACGGTATTACAACAGGAGGCACACACATTTACAGATCAGCAGACCTGATGCCTCGACGGGAGGATTGCATGAGGATTGAACTCTGATCACATATGGCTGTTGCGACTGTTGAAGACTATATCGCATGAGAAGTATATTTCACCCTTCCACAAGGTATGTGCACTATCGGCTTCAGGTTATTGCAACAGATCTTCACAAAAGTTCATGCGCCGCTGAAAGCCATCGAAATGTAGCTTTCTGGAAAGAGTCACTTCACAGTGCAGTTTACATCTTAACTTTACACTTTCTGGCAACCAAGATTTGGGATTTTTTGGCTTCCTTTTCTGACCTCATTTTTCAATCTCCGGAATCTTTTCCTGCATCCTTTCAAAAGCGTGATTCAGCCTTCTCGAACGTGTGATGATGACAGCGTCATCAGCATGATACGCATTCATGGTGTTGTGATCGCCTTTAAATTTTGGAAGTCATTTGTATAAGGTACCGGTAGCTACCAAAGGCATCCTCTTAAAATACGATTCAAACGACGGTTCATTCCACGGCACACGCATCGATATGCGCGATGAACATTTTGAACATCATGCAAATATCGATGTTCATGTTTTCAATAAAGTCCCCCCCTTTGCATCAGATATTATATCATATTTTCCGTACGCTTTTATATAAAAACTACAGGGCGTACGGGTACTATTCTTTGGACATTTCTTACCTATTTCAAGCGAGGAATCTGACTCTGCAGAGTTTGGACAGTCTTGATGGGGACACCCCTATATCTATGGCTTTTAGTACTTTAAAACTCAGCTTTCCTACATTTGTAATACATATTTGTCTGTTAAACTGACTATTTATTCATCTCCAAATGCTATATGACGCAGCAAATTTATCAACAGGATTAACTAACAAGAGAAAACGCGTAAAATATTTTTGATGCTCTGAACTAGTGTGAAAATAATGACAATGATTGTGCAGTAATTTTAACTTCATTTGTTCAATATAAAGTAATTAAATTCATAAAAAATTTAAACTTCATTCATTTCATCAACAGCCAAAATGCTCTACTGTTTGGCTGCTAACCCAGATTTATCAGCCAAATAGTGGAGCATGTTGTAATACTTTATTTTGGCTCATCAACTTATTCATCTATTTATAAAATGCTTCTGATATATTTGAAAGGCAACAGAAATCAGCACTTAATAAATCAATTAACTTGTTTGAAGTTTCATTGTTGGTAGACTAAATTTAACTTACCAGTTTTCCATATATAGGAGACATAATAATAACCACCAGCTCAAAAATACCAAAAACGAGGCCATACTGCGTTGGCGTAGCCCCTTTTAACTCTGCCTAAAATAGAAGGCACTTTATTAATCTAAATATCTCATACTTCAGAAATCAAAATTAACAACTTAATTAAATATTAAAAATCTATAACTTCTTCAAGCTACATAAATAGTTTTAAAGAACTTCTCCCATTTAATGAAATCGGTATGTTTAAAACAAATACAGTTCTTCACTTGGAGCTTGGTAATGAAACTCTGAGCCATTTGAACTGAGGTCGTTAGTCAAATATAAGTTTAACATAGTTCAGTATTAGAATAATAATTATATAAAGCTATACGGATTAAAGATACCTCATAATTCACCGAAGTTTATGACAACGAACTATTTTGCGTAAACTAAAAGCCTTGTTATGACTACTTTCGTAATGCCCACAGATCTCACTTTTGAATTTATACCTGTATAAATTTCTCGAATTCTTAAGAGAGAGAATAGCGTTACTCAATGTAAAATAAAGTATCGGAAAACTTTGGAATATAGCTTATTACTGAAATTAGTAAATTATAGAATTTACTAAATATATAAAATTACTTAGTAAATTATAGAATTTATCTGAAAATTTTACTCGTTCTTCAGAGCTAATGTTATTAGAAATACTGTGCGCTGTATTAGGATTTTTCTGAACGTGAAACAAATTTAATACTTTTGAAGCTCATAAATCTGTCTTAAATTCACACAATATTTAAGATGCTAATAATAAATTGCAAATCACATAAAATTGAACTAACTTAAAGTATTGCAATATAATACTAGAATTTTAAATACATAACACTTTACGACCTTCTGATTATATAATGAAAAAAGAACAAATATTCAACAAAATACATCTAAATACCAAAGATGAATTAAAGAAATTTTCTTAGAGATTTTAAATATAAACTAGCTTTCATAGTTAAAATGCAATCAGTAATTCTATTGTAGAAAAATGCAGACTACATTTTGTAATAAAATATCACTTTTCTTCTCGTGTAAGTCTGAAATGCTTTACTTCTAAACATTTGGCATATCTTTTATACTGTTTTCGAGTAACATTGTAAATGAGGGAGAACCTAATAATCTACGATTTAAAAGATAGCTTAGTCAATAATACGTTTTGCTGGAATGACTTCTTACATAAGCCATGTACATTAATAACAAATTTACTGTAAATGTAAAGTTCATTTACAGAACGATGGATATTACGTACGGAATATATGCTCTAAAACTACTATATTTAGGAAAGTTGAGATTATTGAACATGAAGAGCCTTTTTTCTTTTGCAGATATCCGATAAACAATGAACGCATTAAAACATAAGTTTAAAATCGTTCATTAAAACATCATGTAGAGACATTAGGTTGTTTTGAAGTAGAAGACATGAAAAATGAGCAATTCCCTCGCCGGGACTCGAAACTGGACTTCTCAAATATGCGCCGAGTGTACTAACCGTTACGCTACGAAGGCATGCAAAAAGAAGAGGGAAAATACTTTATATACTCTCCCTTTTAAAAGACAACTGGAATTAGGGGACACAATCGCCAAATCCCGGTGGTGAAGAATCATCATCCACCACATTTTAGTTCGGGCGTCACTGTAGAGACATTAGGTTATTTTGAAGCAGGAGACATGAAAAATGAGCAATGCTCTCGAATACGCGCCGAGTGTGCTAACCGTTACAGTACGATGGCACGCAGAAAGCAGGGAGAAAATACCTTATAATCATAACACTGAAGTTTGTAAACAATAAAATATTTATTTGTTAAAAAGTTTCAGGCTATATATTTGCACGGCTCAGTATCGAGTACTTCGCATGGATGGGTTGTAAACAAAGTAATATTCGCGATATATCGGGTAGTATGTATGGTTCCTCCATTAAAATATTTTGCTCACTTGAATAGGCTGTAATTACCTATTTTTTAAGTATTTCTAGAAACAAAATAGTTTTCTGTGGCGTTATTTTCTCTTGAAAAAAAAAATCATACAGTAAAAGAGCAAATTTATTTAAGTAACAGTATTTTTGATCATTTAATCTATATCGAGAACGGAGAATTCTGAAAATAAATACTCTGGACTAAATACGTTCCGTCTATAAGGTATTTCTCCCGCTTTCTTAGCATACCTTCGTGGTGTAATGGTCAGCACACTCGGTGCGTAGTCGAGAGGTCCGAGCGAGGGCATTACACATTTTTCATGACTCCTGCTTCAAAACCCCTAATAACTCTACAGTGGCGCCCGAACTAAAAAAAAAGGTGATGAATGATAATTCTTCACCACCAGGATTTGGGGATTGGGTCCCCTAATCCTTAGTCGCTATTTGAAAGGGGGAGTATATACGGTATTTCTCCCGCCTTCTTATCATGCCTTTGTGGTGTAATGGTCAGCACGTTCGGAGTGTATTCGAGAGGTCCGAGGCTTAAGTCCCGGCGAAGGCATTGCTCATTTTTCATCTCTCCTGCTTTAAAAAAAATATCTAATGTCTTTACATGTCTTCAATGTTAAAAATGCAGTGTACATAATTTCAAATTTTTGCAAAGGAGTAAAGAATTTAAAGTAAGAATTCCACTTTATTTTACTTCTGAATTACAAATGTGAATTATGTTTATCATTTTAACAATAAGAAACAGAAGTTCGATTCAGTTTTCAGATGTAAAATTCAGTATAATAATAAAGATGATACTTGTTGTAAACAAGGCGGCCACTCAGCCACTGGTGGACCGATTTATCGAAGGTATTAAGTTTATTTGCATATAAATGCTCTAATTCAGCATTTAAAGGAAGCCAGAAAGGAAAAGGATAGGTATATAATGAATGATATGATAAAGCTCAAAACACATTAATCCTCTGTAGTTTTTTGTGATAACAGAATTATTTAATTGAATGTTTCTAAATGCAGTTGTTATAACAAAACTTTCTCGAAATTAATTTCATTTTTATATTTTGTTATATTAACGCAATTTTTTTTCGTAATCAGGGAAAGGCACTGCTTGTAAAAAAATGTAATACAAATTTAATTCAAAACATTATAAACTCGCCTATTTTAACTAAACATATTTTTTACTGGTAACATCTCGTAAAATGTGTGATAAGCAACTCAGCTTGAAACTATCAATGCCTGTAAAATTTTAATTTAACCCTTTGTTGCATCATGTCCACTCTAGTAGACAAAAGTTTAAATTTGTTTATTCTTCTGTAAATGCCTTAACAGATTCCATTCCTGTGTTTATTCATTCTATATTATTAGAACTTTCAACTGTCGATCACAGATGGCTGTATACCATCACTAAGTAAAGCATTGCTATTTGGAAAATGACAGCTACTTCTGTTTCCACGTTAGTACATTTTCTCATAGTAAACATTATATAATATTGTAATGTACATTTTTTATTCATAATTAGTAATTGAGACATTTATTTTAAATGTCAGTTTGAGAAAATTGTGGAGTGGATAGATAATGATCTACCGAAAAGAGTGGATTGAAACCCAAATCTACTGCTTATCAAGCCAAAACACCGCTGGAAATGTTTATGTTTGGCAAGGAATTTCTAGAAAATTTGACATTTTAATCCAATAGGTACAGGTTACAAAATTGTAGGAAAATGAATTCAATCACAGTCTACGAAATGAAGGTATTTTGGGGGATCTGTATGTACATGTCAGTTGTAGATTAACCATTTAGAAGACTGTAATGATCACTGCAAACAAGGCAGGAAATAATTTCAAATGCAATGACCGTAAATCGTTGGAAAGAGAATTTTATGCATGTGCGTATATGCATGCTGTCCACTGTAGTGAACAAACTGTAGCAATTATTTAAAACGAAATTTGAATAAAATTAATTTTTTTTATTATTACTAAGGTTATTTTAAGTAGAAAAAAATGCAAACATTTTCGTTTAACTTCTCTAGATTGTTTGTATGAAACAAAGGTTAAGACTTTTGTTATTCAGATAAGAAGTTTAAATACATAACAAAACACATTTTCTCGATTGTTCTCATTTTCATTAGTATCACCTGCCTGCATCGTGATTTTAGCCTGATGATTCATCACGCTTAGCGAGCTTAATTTCAGACAATTTTCATGAAACGTTGCCCCATCAGTCGTAGGGTCGTGAGCGCGTATTTTTCTTCCTTTATATTTGTAGTCATACTGTAATTAACTTTCATTTTAAGGTATAATAAAAAAATTGAAGTACAAATGTAGTTTTTAATTCTAACTTTTGTAAAAGATCGTAAAATAATGGATATCGTAAACCCTTTTGATTCGAACAACTGCATCATTATGTAGTTCCCGTCTAAGTATGGTAAAGTAACGTAAGAAAGCCATTAGTGTAAAAATTTGTCAGTCCCAAACTAATCTAATCATCACATGAAATATGATAAGTTAATTTGCTGCGCGATAGCTAATAGTTGGTATTGTGCAGCATCTGAGAGTTTAAAAGCATAGGCTAAAATCAAATTATCTCAGAAATAAAGGTTTAACATTTTAAAGACGTATTTAAAATTCCAATCAAAATTCTTGGGCATAAAGTTTCTGCTCGTACTTTTTAGCAGCTGGGATTCGAACACAAAAACGATATGGCCTTTGATCTTTATATTCCTCGTATGATCGTGCTGCATCAAACTTAATTCACTTTTCCTTCGGTGACGTATTGTAACCCGTTTCTTAAATTTTCTCATCAAACTTATCGTTTTTTAAATGAATCTCTGAGATGAGAAAACATCCGCCTGCAACACGTGCGGTTAATAACAGTTCTTAATTTGATTTAACCTTTAGAAACCAATCGGGGTTGCACATAACCCTGGGTCATTAGTGCCTTTTAATTATTTTTATGTATCTATATATATATGTGTGTGTGTAATGAAGCAGACTTAGATGTAAGGTAGATTAAATATTAATTTTAATTTCAATTAAAATTTATGACCGCAATTCACCTGGCATTCTAATCGTGCCCATTTCGTTAATTTTTAAATTTTCGACATTGTTGCGATATGAAGACAGCGGCGCAGCAACTCCTTGGCGGCAACAGACGTAGAAGCAAAGTCCTTAATTATCCAATATCGAAGCTTATTAAGAGAAACCTTTTAGGTTCTGGAAATTTTAAATTAGCTACGTCATCATCGTTATGTGAAATCATACGATACGGATTAATCTAGAACTGACGCAATCCAGAAAAGGTTATTACTTCTTTTAGAGAAAGAAAATATTAAAATTAAAATGAGGAATGAAGGGCTATTGCTAATTTGAGTTGCAATTTTGATTTACATATGTTTTATCTTATACATATGTCGTGGTGTTTTTTCCTCTGTGCAACAGAAATCTCAGGGTAAAGTCATGGTTTTATTCGACCTTTCAGAATCATGAAGTGGTCTGCTAATTTTATGCAATTCTCCATCAACACCGGCCATTTTATTCGAAAAAAGGTGCTTTCTTCATTGGGATTACCATGACAAAAAGCTTACAGTAATGAACACAAATGAAGGCACAGTTTGAATTTTCTCAAAAAAGTTTTAAAAAATCATTATTTTTATTGAAACATAAATTATAATAACTAAAAATGTTAAATTAAAATTCAAATTAACATACTTGCAAAAGTCACTTCAGCTGATCAAAATGAAGGATAAAAGTGAAAGCACAGTGATTAAAATGTCAAAATGAAATGTAGTCAATACTTTGTGACGATTCCTCTGTTTTTGATAACACCCTTGAGCCTATTTGGCACGGAATTCATCAATTTATTTATTTTTGCTTGTTTGTTTGTTTCAGAAGAAATTTTGCCCCAATCTTCTAAGAGGAGCCTTTTCAAAACGTCCACGCATTCAGTACATCGTATTTCTTTATCTTTTGTAAAGGTTCTTTTCATAAATGTTCAATGGGATTTAAGTCAAGGATTGAGCTGGATGATTCAGAGTGTGGGGCGTATAATAGAGCAATTACAGATGGGTAATATGTGTCGTATGTTTGGGATTATTGTCCTGTTGAAAGTACAGAAGTTGTTGTAAAGTGAAGCTTACGGTCTTTTACTAAAAGATTACATTTATGAACATTCATATAGACATGCTGATCCCTTGTGCCATCAATGAACTCAAGACTTCCAATACTCGTACTGAACTTCCTTGCTTCTGACTGCTGCATATTTGTAACCAGCCCGATGAAGAATTCTGGTGATAGTTTTCGGATGAATTACTTTGTGAAAGTCTTCCTCGAGTGTTGAAATTTTTATATTCACTTTAACAATATGAATAATTTTTCTCTATTCTCTACAAGTCAGCTTTATCTGGCGGCTACTTCTTGGTGCATTTACCACAATACTAGACGATTTGAAATTTTATTATCATAGTGCTTACTGTGTACCGACTCCTATTCACTGTATCACCAGTTTCATTCAAAGAATTATTCTGATAACATAAACGAATGATTATTTTTCCTTTTTCAATCGTAGTTCCTACACGCTTACCAGCCATTTCAAAATTTTGACAGACTAAGCAGAAGCAGTCAAGCTTTCAGCGCCACTTTTGATAAGTGTAACTATTATCTGTCTTATATCACTCTGACTGATACGTACAAAATAACGCAATAAAACTTAATTAGCATAAAACTCAACATTGTGCTTTTCCTTTTGGGTTTCATTTTGATCAGTTGAAAAGTTCTATTTAGTTTTGTAAGCTTATTAACTTGTGTTTCAATTTAAAATTTTGTAATAATATTTATATAGTCTAAAGATTATATATATTTATAATGCAACCCAGATATATATATTTATAATGCTAAAGATTATATATATTTATAATGCATGTTTATGTTGCATTTCTAACCATTTTACCACCCAGCCTGTAAAATGGTTAGTGACCGAAACGCCGTCGCATGGACCTCCGATCTAAGGTTCTACACCAATCAGAGTTATGTCCATGCGACGGAAAAGAATCCACCATCCACCGCCAGCGGCATTCACTGAATTAATGATACTAATGTTACAATGCTAAATTGATAACGTCATCTATGACTGCCATTGCAATGGGCCTGGATTCGAATCCCGGAGAAGGCATGCTTGTAACTGTCTGTCCCTTCATGGGAGGCAACGATGGCCACCTAGTAGGTGCTTCCTTAATGAAGTGGTCACCACTTCCTGCCCTTGTAATGGCGCAAGGCTAACAAAAGCTCCCATAAAAAAATATATAAAACGCAATTCTAATAAAAATAATGAATTTTGCAACTTTTTTCTCCGTTTTTTGAGAAAATGCAAAGTGTGCCTTCATTTATGCTCATCACTTTAGATTGTTCAAAGAATGAAATTCATTCGTTATCTCACACATAACTAAAGATGATTCGTCGCCATTAGAATTTACAACACAGTTTGCTGGCTAACTATATTATTAAAATACATAAATGAAATAATCAAGAGGCAACAGTATTTTTACAAGTAAATCGTGAATTGAGCAGATATAAATACTTATAAATGAGGTTCTTACTGGCTTTTACTTTAGGAATAATTCTTAAAATAAAAGCATTCATGGGAAACCGAGTTTTCTAATAAGTGATTTAAAATCTTGTTACATAAAAAGTAGAATTAATTTTGCTTTTTTCTTGAAATACTTTGCAGTTCTCTAAATCTTTTTGTCTCAGGAAGTCAGCAATGTGCTCTTTCTTCTCTTTACTACCTGAACAATTCTGGTAATCATATTAATAATATTATTTATATGATTCTGTTTTTTTTTTTTTTTGAGATGCTGTACGAATTCAATTTTTTTAAGAACACAAATTCTAAAGTGCTAACAGAAATCCTCTTTTCATTATAAAAGTAATATCGGGAAAAGAAATCATTATTAATCGAGTAGTTAAGGGGAGAATTGTATGCTATTAAAGGTCAAACATCTAATGGATTTAAACTTCTCATCTAGTTGGAAATAGTTATTGGCTGAAACAGAGGCAAATTCAATACACTCTAAAAGTAAAACAAAATATTATTCCATGATTCAACAAACTCTGATTATCGTAACTATTTCCTACTTTCTTCTTTAATTACCAATAGTAGAAATGTTTTCCCTTAAAATTCCATGTGATACCGAAAGAATAAAATTTGAGGTAAATACTCAGTATTGAAGATAATATTCAATATTAGAAGCAGTAAAAATTTTAAAAAAATGGTTCAAGTGCTGAGAAGTAAAGCATGATAATAGATCTCGTGCATTATTAAGCAGCACTTTATTAATAACACAATTCAATCTCACTGCACAGTATTCCTAAACAATACCATCTTATAGCATAGTTATATAATTAGAAGCCTTACGTGTCTTATAGCCATTCAATACAATAAATTTTTTTAGCATCATTTCAGGCCAGTACATATATTTTTACGCAGAAATGCAAAATGCCGTGATAGCATGCTACCATGTCAAGACTAGCAGTTTTTAGAAAAAATATCCACTTATTCCTCTCAGCGAGCAGATTTATTATTTGAGAAAGCTTATGATATTTGAGTCCTGTAGAGACTGTGTGGCTCATTAGAGGCCGAGCGGTAAAATCCGCTGAACACTGGTAGTTCGGTCCGGATATCGAAGTCCCGGCTAACGGGCTATACGGGCGTTTATTTCACCCCATGGGTAAAATGGATACGAGCCAATTACAAGTTCAGACAAATAAATTTCTCATAAAATAAGAATCTCATTAGTTCCTCTAAATTTTAAAATGTGTTAAACACTTAAATTTTTGTGGAAAAAAGTGGAAGTTTTTAAAAATAGTACCAGCATTTAAATTATTAAAGAACGCTTATATAAATTTTAATCAAAAGTTCAGTTAAATTAAATATGTTAGAAAAGTAAATTTTAAAATGATACAAGAATATTTGGTCACACTTTTCTTTTAGTCCAAAATCTGAATTCATTATTACTATTTTCGAGCTATCAAGACAAGGACACTCACCTCACGAGGGAAAAAGGGAGCTTGCAGAGAAACTGAAGCTGCCATCCAAAAATTTGCATAAACCAAGGATACTACTATATATAGCTTCTTCCAGTTGCGGGGTGTAGGAACTACTTCTTCTTCTTCTTGAGGACATTCTTCGACCGAAGACTGACATGGCTGCGGTTCTGCACCTTCTAGCCTCTTCTCTGGTTCTTCGTTTTGTGACTGCGTCATCCGTAGGGTTGAAGGTCAACAAGTTTTTCTATATGAGAAAGAAATATAGGTACCGTTCAGAAAATTAGAAGCTCTTGTTTCACATATTTTACTTCCACAGACGGGTATCAAATAACCATTACGATTACCAAACAGCTAGATAATATCGAGCATGATATCCTCTTCAGCTAAACTACAAATCTAGCGCACTGCATTTCTCACTTTGTGCCTGTAAAAGTTATATAACCTTTTAAGCTCGTCACTAGAATACAAATTGAAATTCTGTAAGTTCTGAGCTGAGCGCATTTTTTTTTTTCCCCCGATAGAATGACAATTACTTGAAAGTCTACCGGATCGCCATTCGATCAAATTTCTTGACACGCATACTTATCTAAAGGAAACTTGCTTAAATACTAGCTAGTGATTTTGATACCACAGAAGAACGTAATATATCGCGTCTTTTACAATTAAATTGATTATTTTGAATTAAGGCCAATTACTATAATTAATATAAGCGTTTACCATCTAGATAAATGTGTGTGAAAATAATTTACCCAATTTTCTTTTTTTTTCGGGGGGGGGGGAACTCGTTAACAGTCAACTTCAGAAAAATATAATTTTTATTTAACTTTCAGAACTTGAAAGGGGGAATTTTTAAAAAATTCAAAATTACCAAAGAAATTTTTGAAATCTAATAAGCGAAACGTACGACCTTGAACTCACCTGATTTCGACCGGACTCGCTGTATAGGTAATGTTTCTGCAAGTACTTAAGACGCACGTCTCACAAACAAGCAAGAAATTCGAGGGTATTCTGTGTAGCAAATAAGTTACTTGAATTCATTAAGTTCCAGAAAGCGTTAGTTAATACGTGGTTAACTCTGGAATGTCGTAGACGAAAGCCTGATGTTCTAGTTTCGTCATATGAAGTTTTTTCGTTTTATTTCCAATTTCTCTAAAAATTTCCTTATAATCTTTTTAAATCAATAACGTCAAAATGGAACTAATTTTCTACTTTTTTTTATTTATGTCAGCTTGAGATCTAAAATGCTACAGCGGAGTTAAAATTTTATCAAAAACAAATTTAAATAACTGTGAATGCTTTATTTTCTGAAAATCTGAAATCGCATAACCAGAGGGTGTCATAAGATTTATTCTTTGTCATAAAAAAAATGGGAAAGGGAAAAGAAAAAAAAAAGGAAGATTGAATGAAGGAAAAAAGAGAAAATAATATAAAAAAAAAATGAGAGGATTCAGGTTCTAACGTCGCACCAGAGGATTTGTTAAGGCTTTTTATGCTTTTGCTGAGACGAGTCTCCTCTTCGACTCACACCTGCTAACACATTTTTTTCTTTTTCCTTTTAGCTTTTGATAGTAAAAACAAACCATAAAAAAGTAAAAATATGCTTACCGAAATTTTCATATAACACCATTTTTTGTCCTGCTTATTTTCAAATATTTTTATTACCGTGAAAGACCGAAATTGGAGAATGTTAACATTCACCAAATACGTTGGTGAAAGACCGAATATTGCACTACATTCTTGTATATTTGGACCCTCACAGGTGTATGTCGATAATCACAGATATGCTCTGGTGAAAGTCGAAAAGAGAGGTCATAAAGTGCCATAATAGTTTAAGTTGTTGCAATAAATAAGATTTGAATTACATAATTTAGTAAGTTTTTATTACTGTTATTTTATTTTCTTATTTAGAACGTACTGTATAATTAAGTAAGTTTTTAACTTCTATTATTTTCCTTTCTCATTTTGAATGTATTGTGTGTTTTAGGTTCTCATGTTCTTAAGTTCTTATTTCAAGTCTAAAGTGCATTTATTCGCGACTGAATTACGGAGAAGAAAATATAATATTGTTATATGTTCAACATTCACCATTAGTACATGGTGAATGTCGACATTGACCGGTGTAAGTCAGAAATAAGAGTATTTCGAAAATATTTCGGACATACACCAAGAGACTATGTGAATGTTGACATTCACCGGTGAAAGTCGACATTCTCCAGATTTCGGTGTTTCACCGTAACATATACCATATAATATTTTTACTGTATATAGCAGGTGTGGCCAACCTGCGGATCGCGAGCCACATGCGGCTGTTTGAAGGATTATTTGTGGCTCTCGATAAATGTACCCCAGTTCCCTTTTCATTTTTGTGTTATTATATTTTAAAAAATTATTATCTTTCCGTATATATTTCAAAATGTCTTTTAAATTACAGACAACAAATATGAAAGACTAAGTGCAATGTTGTAAAAAATTTCATTTCCGTCCATCGTCTCTTGATTTTTTTCTGAATACATTTGAAATTAACATAATTCAAGGTGAATTTTCCATTTCCAATGCAATTATGACCCAAAATGTATCTGGAGAATTAGAACTAATAGAGATGCAAGAAGATCAAGCTCTACAATTAAAATATAAATCGACGCCGATTACTGAATTTTGGAAATTTGTACCAGAATCAAAGTATCCTGAATTAAAAAAGGCTGCTTGTCGAATTATTTCAATATTCGAAACAACATACTTATGTGAATCATTTTATTTCACTTTAAAATTCGTGAAATCCAACACCGATCAGTATTAACTAACCAGCATCTCAAAGAATTACTGAGAAGTGCTGTCACCAATTATTCACCAAATTTTTAAGACTTATCAAGAGAAGTAAAATAAATGTGTTTAATTTTTAATATTTAAATTCAATACACATATTTTGTACTTTTCTTTATATGTTTTTAATAAATATAATTTCCGTAAAAAAAATTTAATACCTTTTTTTGCACACGTTTTAAATACGTATTTAATTGCGGCTAGCGAAAAATTTCAGATTTTGAAAAATGGCTCGGATTATCAAGGAGCTTGGCTACCTCTGGTATATAGTGTTTCAGAGCAAAAAGAAAAAATTCATAAAGAAAACAGCTATACGTCTTCTGAGCAAATTTGTGCATGCAAAGGGGAAAATTAATAAAAATATTCTTAAACGTTTCGTGTCACATTGCCTTTTCCTTGGGTTCTTTGCATTTATAAGCAATTATGCGCAGAATAAAATAAAAATAACAAATTCGGAATGAACTGCATAGAGTTTCATATTTCAGTCTCCACGTAGACGTGTTAACCATTCTGTGAATAGTGCCTTCAACAATTTAGGGTTAGCTCAGTTTAGACTATGCGATTATGTCAAAGCTTTACGACGCTTAAGGGGAGTGATGCCTTCGCGGAGGGCTTTCTAAGGGAAAGTGGCTGGTATCCACATCACATATGAGGAAAATCACGAAAATAAGTCGTACAGCCAGCCGGTTCGCCTGGACTCGAACTACCAGAATTCAGCGGTCTTAACCGCTCGACGAGTGGAGGGGCCTAGTAATTTAGAGCATTCAAATATTATGTATGTTACATAGAATTTTAGATTCGGTTTTCTTTATTATTTCTGAGATGTACACTGCGTGTGTTGCAGAAACGTTGCTTTTAAGGTCCCCGTACTCTGCGGAATGCATGCGAAACAGTGAGTCGTAAGATCAGAGCCACTGTGAGCGAAACTGAATCTCAGTCGAATGGCCAATTAGGAACGATAACTATCCTTTTATAATACTTTAATATCCGTCATTTGTTTTACCTACTTTTAAAGCTGAGTGTTGTGAAACTTCAGTTAAAGGACCTTCATTGGATATTGAGCAATCTATATCTTTATGTAGATTGTTAAATATTTTTTTAATTAGAGAAAAAGGTGAGATTCCGAAACATATCTCGTGTTTTAAGCAATGAGTGACGTAAAAACTCCGCTGACTGCAGCTGTTAGGTTAACATCTAACAGAAAAACAGGGATTTTTAGCATGAAATGACACTTAAGTAACCTTATTAAAGCTTAATGAAAATATGTGATATATTCCAGCTTTTTACGTGCTGTCAGTCAGCTTTCAGCAAGGCTTGACGGCATGTTTTAAAATGTATCGTAAATCAAGGAATAATGCATTAACCTGAAACTTCCCTTCAAGCTGAAAAAGAGTACTATTAATACATACCAGATATTGAGATTAGTTTGTGATGCTGCTAAAGAAAACAATTAACAAGCATTTTCAGTAACTGATTATGCGAAGAAAATGTGTCAGTAAAGATACAGTATCAAAATTATGTGAACTGTATATTTTATCTCGATAGAACTATGCAAGTTGAATTTGTATTTAAAAATACTATGATGAATAATTCATTTATAAAGACTTATTACAGAGTTTAGGAAACATCGTATGAAAAATATGGCATGAAATATGGACAAAAGCTTCATTCTCCGTCATAACAATGCTCTGTGTCATAGATCACTTCTGTTATGGTAGATTTGTTAATTATTCCTCTATCTTATTCACTTATTCAGCATTTTATTCATCATCTCATTCATCCATCTTATTTACGGATCTGGCATCTTACAAATCTAAAAGGAGCATAAAAAGGAAAAGTTTTGTAATCGGTTAGGGACATTGAGAGTAAAAGACTGTCGCGAAAGAGAACTTCCAGAATTGCTTCAGACGGTGTCAAAAACGGTACGATAAAGTGTGTTTGAAGACAGAGGAGAATATCCTGAGAGGAATTAATGGGAAAATATTTTATACCCTTAATGATGTGTATTGATTTGAACATTCACGTACTTTTTTACTACACTCTGCATATATTTTAATAACAGCTTAATGTTTACTATCTGTTTGCATTACAATAGTCTACCATCCTCTGCGTTTATTTCATTACGTCATTTGTTCTACCCAAATTGCGGTACATATATTTTTAAGCCGTTTATTAGTTGAAAAAGACTTTTCCCATTTCCAGAATTTTCTAATCACTCAATTTACTTGTTATTTTATTTGACTGCCATCGTTTATTAATACTTGCAAATAAAGAAAGGACAAAACGTGCGCCCATGACTGAAGCATCGCTCATTTAGTCATTTAATTTGACTGCCGAGATGCAAGGTTAACAAGAGGGAGTCATGCACGTGTCATAGTTGGAATAACAGATAAGCGCTAACACGTGTCTCTCCTGGGACACTGT